ATTAATACGAACTGTATTCATAGTCATTCAATATTTATAGATAGGACGGTTTCGTATTTCAAAGGCGTGTAGCGAGACATTATTTTGATAATAAATGATCATCATATTATCTTCAATAAACAAACGAAGCTCCGACTAAATAAAGCGGGCAATTAATATTACTTGACGTCTAACAAATATTTTTATTCATAGATAATCTGTTTTCATTTTCGGGCTTATTGTTTGCAAGACCTCACATAACAGCGCATCGTGTGAGGTCTTAATTTTTCTGCTTTCCCTATTTTCTTACCAGATTTAATTTTAATCATAACCAACACATTCATCTTACTACTGTTATGAAGTAGCTCTCGCCCGCGACTCCGTCCGCGTGAAAATAAAAAAAAAAGTTAATAGCCTATGTGTTCTTCCAGACTATCATCTGCGTCTATGCCAAATCTTATCCATATCCGTTCTGCCGTTTAGGCTACAAACTCTCAAGCATTTGTTTGGATGAGGCTACTGTATATTTGGACGAAGTCGAGGGTATAAACTAGCAACAAGCAATTGTTTTACGCTCTCTTCTATAAATAATGTACTTACTTTCAGAATCTATACTATTATAATAAAGCGTAAACACACACTTCTTTGTTGCCAAGATGTCAGCAATTACAGCATATCTTTGAAAAATTATTTTTTTAATTAAAAGCCCTACACTTACGTCACGTTTTAGGCTATATATTTTCACGCCATTAAACTTAGGGGGTAAATATTTTGGATAAAAGCCCTAATGTAGGAAAGAGGCCATAAGCTACGAGCTGCCAACATCAAGGAACCAAGGTTGTCATTTCTTCATTTGAATTTTAACATTTCACAAATATAAACAACAAAAAAATACATTCATAATTTCACGCGGATGAAGCCGCACGGGAACAGCTAGTTCTATAATAACCACATAATAATAAAGCACACATTTATCCGACTAATTATTAACTAGAGTTGATAAAGAAGATTTAAGATATCTATTTTTTATCATTTTCACAACCGCACGTGGCGGGAACTGGCTAGGAAAACCACATTAGCATGTGTATTACGGAAAAACACATTACCTTATCGTACATCCAGTGGACGACTCGGTTCGGATGTATCGTCCCCAAATCTGATTTAGTGGCGTCTCCCGTTACATCAAGCCCTCTATTACAACCCCCTGTACCCCCACATAGCTATAAATAATTAATATTAATGAACATTTATAATTAATGTAAGATATGATACATTGGATTAAGTAATAAAATTGGTAAAAAATTATCTACGTCATACATCTAAATCTATACTAATATTATAGAGAGGAAAGAATTGTATTTTTGTATGTATTGAAAAAATGATTTCAAATATTATTTCACCATTAAAAAGCTACGTTATCAGTGAGTAACATGGACTATATTTTTTACTTAAAACTTTAGAGAACCACATTTATAAATGCCACGTCAGAATAGCTAAAGGCCGCTGATACCGTATGCCTTGTTGTTGCAGGTAACTGTTTGGAGCAAAAATGACTTCTCTCCAAAACCTACTATCAAAAATTATAACTTAGAAGATCGCGGGCAGCCACCGCAATATACAATGCATACAAGATGCTCAGAAAATGCTTAATACCTTTAAACATAGCTTAGAGCAGCAACAGATATAGACAGATACATTATAAACAAAAATAACACTTTATGCTAATAAATGTAAATTAGATTAATTCGGTCAATATTTTTTCCACTCGATCCAGCATCCCGTTCAGTGATTCAAACGCAATTACATCTGTTATTTAAAACTAAACTATCGGCGGGTCGGAGGCACCCTCGCGATACCCCAGGGCTCATTTAACCCCCTCGATCATAAACGGACAATAACCACCCGCTGTGGGGTGGCCGCGAGAAACTGATTGCCGTCATTTAAATGGCAGGCGCTTACTTTTAAACACTATTGTTTCTTTTCATTCGATAAAACTTCTTGCAACAACAAAACCTTATTACCTTATTAGTAATTAAAGTTAACTTAAGTTTTAGCCACTTTATACATATAATTTTAATTACTGTATTAAAAAATACTACCTTATTTGATAGTTAGGGAAAAAATAACCAAAGTCTACGCAACTACACACTTTTAGAATAAATCAATCAAACTTTATGAACAAAGATCATAACTCGCTAACAAAAAACTCAAGAAAAACTTAAATTACACTTTTTTTCCGCATTAAGAGTGCGAAAAATCTTCTTGACGTGCTACAAAATTGATGGGCGTCGGAAAAGAAAAGTGGCAACTCGAAATCCGGCAAACTTTTCACGTCAGCCGAGTTTCACTTAGAGAAGTTTCTACATCCATTTAGAAGTTGTTCCTATACGACAGACTGACAAATTTTAATGAAGCCAAGAGGGCCGCTAATGTCTGCGAGCTGCCTAATGGGAAAACTTCGAACGTCAGTCCCGTCGGCCTCGGTTCGTAAGCTGACATTCTTACTATAGTATTATTAAATAAAGGCCGTTTTTAATATTCCTTAAATTTAGCCTTTAATTTATTATCTTATTGAAAGCATTTTACGACAAGGCTGCATCTCATTTTTAGGAGATTTTTGCAATCAAAAGATTATAAAAATATCATAGTATCTCGAATACTTTTGATCATAGAATCACAGAATTTTAGACCAAATCGCATAGCGTATTTTTTTTTTACTTTTATCGACTTACAATTTGTAATGGCTAGTCATTTAGCGTTGAATAAAATAAAATTTAACATTTCATAAAGTTTCTCAGGGTACAATAAATAAAGTTGTAACACAAGACCCCTGGGCAAACAATAAAAAGCGCAATCATTCTGTCGTGTGTCAAACTCTTTCACAGAATAAAATGCTCGGTGTAGGTTACATTATAAATTTCAACATGATCGTTTGGTGACCAGCAAAGTCATTGGGGTAGCGATGGCGATTTAAACGTCTAACCCCCGCCAGAGGGCGGCGCGGCGCGGGACTCATCCATCATACGCTTTACATATGTTTGAATAAAGCTCGTGGGAAAAGGATTTCCTCTCAGAAGTCAATGCGGTGCTCAATACTGTAGGGTGACCAGGATTTTATAAGAATCAAATTATTAAAGATACGAACAATGATAATAATAACGAATGAGCCGTTCCCGGTTTTGAAAGTTTTAGCTAATTTAAAGGATTTGATAGAAATACTGTATTTTTTTTATTCTATGTGTCACAATCCTAGTAATCATGATGCACCTATGTTCTGTATATGGACGCCCCATATTTTGAAAATTTAAATACCAGAATAATTAAAATGTTTTCCTTCAACAAATTTACCTAAGGCACTTACCATTATTTGGGAGTCTTTGCTTTCTGTACTAAACTAAGAATATGGTTGTTACAATTGCAGATATTTCTGATAAAAACTTTATAGCGTGGTGATCCTACATTACAAATAGTGGATTAGGGCAGTTTGGCAAACAAGGCGTCGCCAGCGTGTGCCGTCGCCCTGCGCCTAACGCTGTATTAATGTCTATTAGAGGCCGCGCATTGTTCTGCTGAGAGACGATACATTCAGATTTATTCTGCTAATGCGACGTGCTAAGCCAAAGCCATCTATGTTAAGGCGTTAATGTATAAACAGAATTAAACTCAAGGACTAGGATCCAGAGTTCTCGACTATAAGTTCACAATTTTATCGCTGAATTCAAGTTTTAAATTTCGTTGACAAACATTGTATTAATCGTTATTTAACTAATTACACTTACTTCGATATTACAAAATTGAGCTTGTTCGTGTTAACTACCGATGTTTCTCTATCTTAGTCTTCTATTGATTTGAAATAAAATTCTATGTAAACAGAAATGACATTTATTTTTAGAAAGGTTATAAGTAAATTCTTAGATAACTGTTTTCAAGGGAAACACAATCTCAAGTGTAATGTGTTTCCGATTGGATGTAAGGAAGAGAATTGATTCAAGATAGAGGAAAACGTCAATATCTTAACTTCGCCTAGTCTTTTAGTTACACAATCTAACCTACCCAACTTCCCATGACTGATAAAAGTTTTTTTTTGAAAATATGAAGGCCAAAATCAAAAACAAACACGTTATTGTCATCCATACTCATATGTGACATTCGCATCGTATATCTTATTACAGACCGCGCGATTCCACAAAGCGATCTCATTACCGCCGTTTCACTTTACACTTCCTGCCCATTCGTGTGCAATCTGTAGTGAGCAAATCCGTTAATCTTATTTGGAGGGTAGACAGGCACGTGGCGCCACGTGGCGCGCAATCGAACTAATCTCGGCGCCGTACGCGTCGGCGGGAAAGCGCGTGCGCCGTCGCGATAACGCCTAGGAACGCCATTCATTCCCGCTCTTTTGTCGCAAACAATTGCTTAGATATTTATAATATTTTGCTACAACCTGCCACCCTCGCTACTGTATTCGTCAGAACTTAACCTTATAATCGCAATGAGCTTAGCGCTTAAGCAGAAATTGTATTTCAATGTACGTCACTGCTATTCTTATATTAGATATATACTTTTCCCTCCTTAATTACTGAATCAAGTTCTTTCAAGATTATGTACATAGAAGCAATGTTTAAGATTAAGGACAAGGTATTGTAATATTGATATGGTCATTTGAACCATACGTATTATTCCCTATCTTTATCGTTTTCCGTTTATGTGTGGTCACGGTGAAATTAAGTTAGCAAAGCACCGTCCACGTAGCATCTCTCGTCGTGTTCTAAGAAGCACTCTTAGCAATAGCAGATCTTTAATATATCCGAATACTTTATATCAAACTAAAATGAGACATGCTTACTTCATAGTTCATTTTTTAACCCTCTAATTGCCTCAGATAATTCGTCTTTAACAAAATTGTCATTTTTAAAACATCGATGTAAAAAATCTCTGGCAAAAATTAAACTTATATCACCATAGCTGGCAATACTGAATCATTGTCTATGTCTAATGTCACTGTCAATCGATTGAAAAAAAAACTTCAATGCTCGATGTCAATGTCAGTAAAATACAAGCAGTGATAAAAGTAGAATTGTAAAAGTTAACAAAATATTTACTAACATTAGCGTTTACAAAGTGAACGATTTAATCCCGTTACGTTGATAAATTGCCCAATTCTTATTTTGATAGATTCTCAATTGATCTACAATGGTTGAAGAAGACGAATACTCTTGTGTAAACAGATCGCAATTAAAAATTAAGGATAATTCTGGAATTAAAAAGAAAAAGAAGAAGAAGTATAATAAAGAAACGGAAAAGGCTATTGAGAATGAAGTAAAGGAACAAATAAAACAACAAAAAAGCACTAACGAAAAGACAAAAGCTGAGCTTGCTTTCTTAAAGATGCAAGATAAAATGGTAAGATAGTTTCTATGGTTTTACTAGATTGCTCTTTCTAAAGAACATTTTTCAATATCCAAATCAAACCAACCTATATCAATTAACTTGTTTTGGATGTTTTTTCAGAAAAAACAAAGGATTCAACAAAAAGCGGAGATGACTCACAAACAAAGGGTAGAGAAGTTTAACCAACATTTGGACAGCTTGACGGAGCACTTTGATATTCCTAAAGTGTCCTGGACCAAATAGTTACACACATTGTTCAATATTTGTATATTAAAGCATAATTAAACATAAATCTCACACTATTGGCTTACCATATACTGAAATGGTGTACTGTAGGAAACATTGGGCTATGAATTTAAATAGCCAATTATCATATAACATGGAATAAATATATTTAAAAATAAGAGTGTAATTTTTCGTTCCCTATTCTTCAAACTTATTTTGGAAATACTTGAATGTCTTGCTATCAAAAATAGATAACTTCACATATTTTTCAGTTTCCTACTAAAATAATTTTTAAGTAAAGTTAACCTGCAACTTGATTGCACTAAAATTGAAAACTTTAGGGGCTTTTTCCTCATCATCCAAATTATTTCACATAAATAAAACAAAAATCATCTTTAAATTGTATATTTCTTAAAATAAAAAAAGGAATTGTGATTAACAAAATATCTTACTGGACGGATTACTCAGTTTGTATATTAAAGTTACTGTAATATACATAGTACACAATTATGAGTAAAATTTTATTTAAACATGAACTCTGTAACAATTCAAAGCTGCTATTACAATTCTTAAAACAGTAAAAAGTTTAGTTCTTAATATTTACAATATAAAAAACATAGTCATGATTAAAATGCACTAATATAAAATAAGTCTTAAAAAAAGTCTCATAAACCTAGATATTGTACTAATAGTAAAGATTTGTCTTTCGTGTGGACGGTTTGTGTAAATTAGAATTAAATAAAATACAGAATAAAAGCATAATCAGCAGCATATGTATAAAATATAAAAAAATACAAACATTATTTACTTAAAGTATATAGTACGTTTATTTGTCTATTTTTTACTTGACTGGGGTCAATTATTTCTTAAAAACTCTCTATGAAAAAAGCTGTTGTAGTAAAAGTATGCTTGATTTAATGTCAGTCTTCATTACACATTTAAAATATATGATATACAAAGACTACAAGAAATGCCAATATCAAACAGATTTGTAATTTAGTAGTGCAGATAAATTGTTCAAACATATATATTTAATCTTAACCTAAAAGGCACTATATCTTAGAATTAAAAATGTGCTTACTATTATTGAGAGTCTACTGTTCCTAGTAAAAGTTACTTGCAAAGATTTGCATTTTTAGTTTACAGAAGTCTTTGTATCACCATTTGATTTATTAAGATAAACAAAATATTCTTCAATAACGTTAAAGGAATCGAAAATATTTTTTTATATGGACAAAGATCAATGGAAAATTGATTTTTATTCAAACATTAAATATTAGTTTGAAGTTAGTGGCGAAATAAAATTAAAAAAGCTTTCGTCCTAAAACATTGTTAAACTTACATATCAAATACACATTTTAAAAAACTTTATTACAAAGTGATAAAGTAACCATGAATATAAACAAACTAGTTACTTGCAACACTGACACACCATTATTCTTCCAAAAAGAATAGCTGAATGTGAATATTTTGATATAATTTTCTTTAGTTGCCCATGGGTCACTGCCATCGTCAAAATGCATAGGACATTGGTCTCGTTCTCGTTCGTATTCTTCCATCTCTATAGCGACAGCTGCGCCCTCCGTATAGTTCCATGACGTCACATCTTGTTTTAAATCGCAATATGGACCCAACGCTTGAGACATTAGAACCCTAAAATTGATAAAGTATGTATTTACTTACATAGTATTTTTTTTAAGCAACTACACTTCAGGGACACTACGTCTGGATAAAGTTCCGTTCAGACAAACCTAAACTAATTATGATTTTCACATATTTTCATAGTTTGTTCTTAACAAGATTTAATTGAAATAAGCTTAATTTTATTTGCGATAAAATATCGGGTCTGTTGTATGTACCAGTCTGTGTGAATGGCCCCTTAAATAACAGCTAGCATTTAGAGTTATGTTGAGGTCATTAGGAAAAAACATTACCTGTTTAAATCAGCTCTCTGATAGACCCAGCAACGGTATTTGGAGAATGGATCTAATTCATCATAAGTAATTAAATAGGATTTCAAATTCTCCTTCCAATATCCGATACATTTCATCTTGTAATCTGGATCACTGTATATATCAACCGGCCTACCCAAATGATCCACAGACAGACAATAATTCTCCTTTATTTGTATCGTTTTTTGATCAGTGTCGCAAACTGAGAAATCACTTATATTGATTTTACAGTAAAGATTTGGACGAGGACTTAAAGTTACACCTCCAAGTATCCTTGTTTCAAATCTAACATCTCCTTTTTGGGTAAAATTAAATTTCCCAGCGACGGGACATCGAATGGGTGACGGATCTTTCTTAAGGAATATATCATATCGCCATTGCTGTTTGTTAGGGAATTGTACCCATGAGCAAACAGTATGGAAGTTACTTTGAATCATCGCTAAGCCTTTACGGAATCTGAAAATTTTAATACCATTGTTATTAAAAAAAAAAATCATTATTGTATCTTTTAAATGAGTGAATCTCACCTTATAACATTATGATGCTGAGGCATGAAGTCAAAACAAACGTAATCCTTTTGACAACCATCTACTGAAAGACGCGCCATCATGACCCTACTATCTCGTTGTTCCCTTTAAATTAAAAAAAAAAAATTAAATATCTGTAACTTTGATATGTTTTTTGATTGTTATTTAGTATAATATTTAAATACCTGCAAACATAAATAGTCCGTCTGAAACGTCCCTCATCTGGATAATATGTTTCGATGATATGTGTTTCGTTGATAAATACATCAGCATCAATGTTAGCTGTATTAATCCAGTCTCCAGAGAAGTTTTGTGGTAAACGACAACCAGGTTCAACCACTTCAGCCTGAAAATAATTGTATTTTATAGCTTTTATATTATTGTACCTTAATTTCTATCCATGCAATCATTGCTTTAGCCTTAAATCTATTAAGTTTTGATTTACTTTAACTGGTGTAATGCGATATCTTTCTGGAGATTTCTCGACGGTCTTCAATGTGCTACACTGTGGTGTTATAGAAGCACCAATGTACAGATCGTCATCTCTGTTCTTAAGAAAACAACGGTATCGTTCATCTTTACGTGATTCCTTCGTGTTCGCAACAGCAAAGAAATGGTTTTTGTCCACAAACCAATGACCTGGAATTACACAATAATGTGAATTTATTATATCATCATCATCACCAGGTCAATATATGTCTCCACCAAGGGGCTTGGAGCCTACTTTAAGTTAGGGTTACTAACCATAGTCAAATTCATAGTATGTTAAGAAAAAAAATAATATATAAAATTACTCTATTAAAGAACTACTAAAGTCAAATATTATGTTTTGTTGTAAACTGAAGGAAATGTTGAATTTTAGATATCAAAAACTTACCCAAACAGCTATATTCAACAACACCATCAAAAGTGCCAGACATTCCCGAACATTTCCTATAAGTGATGTTGAATTTCTGATTGGTGATCAAAAACTGTGTGCCTGCAGTTTGACATGACTTAATCTGTGCATCCGGGTGGTTGCACTCTCCGGTGAAACGAAATCGGTTCTGATAAGCAAACTGCCAAACTCCTTCGAGTGATGAACGACAATTTACCTAAAGAAAAAACAAGACTTATGTTTCATTCTTAATGTGTTTTAGAACTATTGTCGTAATTATTCTTTCATATAGTTGCCAGGAATAACTAGTTAGTAACAAGATAGTAGAACAGAAATGCAATGAGTTATACTTACTGGGACTGAATTTTCAGAGAATAAGGTTATAAACTGTTGATCAGGGATCAAACTGCGGCACACTCTCTCAACAGTAGGCTCCTCAGGAGCTACATCTACACAAGGAGTTTCAATCTTTTCTAGAACATTTACCGTGCGGGCTATCAATTTCACGCAGTAGTAACAATTTGTGTACTTGAATACCATTGTATAGTTAACATGGTAATCTGCCTTTATGTTTACACATACACCCCTGTAATAAATAATAACAGTGTATTCAAAATCAATATAAATCGCTACTAAACATTGTGAAATAATAAATTTTAAAAGCAAAAACCTGTTCTTATAAATTAATTTTACCTTCCTGTCATTTCGCTAGCATTGATATCAGTAATAGTTTGTTGTCCATTTTCGTAAGAAAACCATGTGTTTCTCAATACTATTGGAATTGTACATTCCGATGAGACCGGACCAACTGAAATTAAAAACAAAACGTTATGGGCGTCACCTTGCAACTTGTACCTTTAATAAAACAATAACTTACTATTGGTTATTACTATAAACGTAATAAACACAGTTAAGTAAGTAACAAACATTGTCGCGTATTTTTACTGATATCAAGGCATTACAAATTTAATCAGAAAATTAATAAAAGACGTAAAAACGAGGATAAACTCTAACTTAAATGTTAACTGTCAATTTGACAAAAGACTTAACTTGACAATCAAGCTACTTCCGTCATAGATAACCATAACTTAGATGAAGTTTGAAGCAACACAGATTTTCTATGGCAACATTAATACTAAAATGACATTTGAAAGCTCTTGACTTTGACATTGACTTTGATTTAAAAATAATACAATTTGGCAAAATTGTTTACCATTGATGCTGTTTTAATCGGTTAAAGTTAAAAATCAAAATACAGAAATAAGAACACAATAGTGAGTTAAACCTTTTAGTACATATTTTAAGTTTATCATAACTTTGGCATGTTTGAGAAAGACGTTCATGTAATATGTGAATAACCAAAATTTTCATTTTACAGCCATGGGTCGCCGTAAATCGAAAAGAAAGCCACCACCGAAACGAAAAGCTATAGAACCACTAGATCAGCAGTTTAACTGTCCATTTTGCAATCATGAAAAGTCCTGTGAAGTTAAAATGTAAGCGATGTTCTAGTGCAACGAACAAAAACTTGATTTAAACAGTTCTTCAAAGATGTCTTTTTGTCCTTTTTTAGGGATCGAGCGAGAAATACAGCTAGAATACAATGTCGGGTGTGCTTGGAAGACTTTCAGACAACAACAAATGTTTTGTCTGAACCAATTGATGTCTACAATGATTGGGTAGATGCTTGTGAAAACGCTAATTAATTTTAAGAAAATAAATTAATCTTTCTTTTGTATGTTTTTATGTTAACACTTATATTTCTAATGTAGTTGGAGGAAGACCAAGAAAGTATGGATGGATTGTGTGGAAGAGAATATGCTTAAGAAGGGGAGGATTCCGATATGACGGCTGATAGAGATGTATGGGAGAGCAGCACATACTGTGCAGACCCTTTGTAAGGGATAAGGCCAAGATCATGATGATGGATTATATTTCTAATCTATATCTATTCATTGTTACCCTTAAGTCACTTTCTTGCATTCAAATGAAAAGATTATATTTTAATTACTGTAGGTGTACTGTAGGTGTCTTAGTCTACATCCAAAATTGTTATTCCCTTATACTGATTACTCTAGGAACATATTTTGTCATATTTCTTGTAAACAAAGCCATGTTTGTGCCAAAACATTTTTACATCATAACAAAAATATTGGAGCAAACAAAAATCATGATTTTATAGAAACTTGTAAATAACAATTCATAACATATGTTAAAAGTTGATTGAAAATATACTGACTTTATTATGAAACTACTTCTTTATTCTTGTCTTTTGTAATTGTAATTATTGGTGATTTCATGTAGGAAGCCAAAATCAACTTTAGGTCACCACAGAAAGTAAACATTATTTTAGAATAAATGGGAGAAATAAACACAGACATTAACTTGTTAATAGATTTATTTCCAATAGGTAAATGTTATTGCTTAGGCAAGACAAATCATTTTTGGCAGAAAAACAGTAGAGTTTAGTAAAGCATAAAGGACTTATTTAAGTATATAATTTCAAACATTTTAACACTACATCTAGGGTTTAAATTGACAAACATTTTTTATAAAGTGAAAAGAAGCATTAGAACAAGGAAGTTAATGATAATTTTAGGGAAATACTGAAGTGAAATTTTTATCCACAAATATACATAGAAAAATATCAAGGGAATTTTAATTAAAAACCTAATAAAAGCCATTAATGACTGTCTGCCAATCACATAATATAGTTTTTTATATTTATACATTGTCACACTCAGAAAGATATAATTTTAACTGGCAACACTACATTTCTACTGTCAAATAAGCATATAAGCTACACACTCTTTGATTTTTAATAAAACATCTTTTTTATTACATGATTGCATAAATGGAATGTACATCCTAACATCACAAAAAATCAAATCCAACGCAACAACTAAAGGTGAAATTCCACTGCTCTAACACTTGTATTTTTTGTCACTATTTTGTCATAAAGAATGAGCGAGATGGCTAATTATTTTATAGAAGTGTTTGATCAGTGGAACCCACTGTAACAATACATTAAACATTTCATGTTGTTTGAACATTTAATTTCAATGTACTTATATTAACTGACAAGAGAAATAATATTTGAAACTAAAATATAGCTTAAAACACTGGATAAATTTCAAATAGTGCAGACACTTTTAGGCTTTATTTGGCCATTTTTTCAAACATGTCGCAAAAGATTCATAATTAACTACAGTGAATTAAGAGTATGAATTAATGTGTACCACCACAATCGCAATTCCTTGATAATTATTTAAGCCTACTTAAGGAAATTTTAAATATAAATATCTGAAATTCTACTTCAACAATCCAATTTGAATAAATTTTACTATAATCTATGTGCTAGTGATATTCAAAGACAAAAAGTACGCACATCTAAAGCTTTATAATTTGTAATTGTACTTGAACATTACTATAAGAATCGAGATATATTAAATTTAACCACACCTAATGTGTAAATGCATTAATTATTTGCATTAATTTAATAAACTGTCTACATTGACACCATTTCCTTACACCTAATATAAACATACAATTTCACTCCCCAATCATTCATATAAAAAACATATTTTTGTCTTTGTCACTAAATGAAAAAACTATGTTTTTCATATGTTTCGGTAGTGAAAATCTACAATACATAACATAATATTCAAATACGTCTATCTAAACAAAAAAGACAGCATCAAGCTGTATCACAAATCAGTAAAAAAAGTAAATAAATATTACTCTTGCTAAATTATAATACAATATATTGAGCTATTGTCTATTCTTACAACCCTGGGATTTTTTCAGCCATGTCATTGAAAGTAAATACTACATATTTATCTATGTACACACTATGGAAGATTTACTATGAAATGATAACGGAAGGATATGACACGGCTGATAGTTGCATACCACCGCCCCGTGCATAAGCTGTGTAGGTTTATTAGGGTGTACTAGCTCACAATTAATACACAAATATAATGTGCAACTCTAAAACTTTATACAGGGATGCAACAAATTACAATTAAACATTTCACAGAGAATATTGTAAGAATAACACTAATACTGATTGTATTTAAAATTTACCCATATCAACGAAAGAATCATACTGTATTTCATAACTGTCATCCGCAGAGTCCAATTCATCTGTAACCATATCACTTTTGGATGTTAAAATTTTCACTTCAGCATTTTCGTCACATACTGCTGTACTATCCGAGCTGTCACTATCAATGTATTCCAGTAATAAGTTAGTTTTGCCATTTTCTGTGCAGACCTCGGACAGCTCAAATGTACTGAGCGATGACTCGTCAATGTTGATGGCGTCAAATGAATGAGAAAGCAAAGCATCACTATACTTCACAGCGGCCTCATGAGATGATGCATCCGTAAAACGACCGGAGTCACCCAATTCAGATACATTAAGCGATGTGTCATCAATAGCTTGAATCGGTTTTCCATTATCCGGATGTATAGAGGGTGTTTCAAGTTGATGATCACTGACTATATTCTCTTTAGATGAAATTGTGTCATCCGATAAATCGGCCTCCACATTCAATGTCACTGAATAATCATTTTCATCTTTTTCTCCCGGTTGTAAATCATCAACACATTTGGTTGAATCATCGCTATCTGATAGAAGTAACTCCAGACTGCGATCGAGTATCGCAGTGTCAGCACAAGACATATCATCTTCAAAGACGATTTCGACACTTCGTATTCTCATAAGTGGCATCTTCGATGGTGATATTTCATTACCCTTCACAGTTCTTGATCTTTTTTGATTTGAATCCAAAGACTCTACGCTTTCGCTGACTTCGTCGTAATCGATTTCGTAGCTCCTGAGATCTGATATACAGGGTGTGGACTCTGTGACCTTGGCGCTGTGAGGTCTGTGTGAGGTGTGTGCATTGTGAGGTTCGTGCGAGGTGGAGGGCGAGGGCGTGCGTGTGGTATGCGCGTGTGTTCCCTAAGGTTGCAACAATTCTTATTGTATGGTGGTGCCGAGGTCCAGGCCGCCCTCCTCCTGCATCTTGGTGAGGAACTTGAACACTCTCGAGTCCTCGTCCGTCTGCTTCACCATATCGACTAGAGCCAGCAACTTCTTGATCCCGATGAATATTCTGTGAAATAATTTCAGTAAAATTATAAATAGTTCGCTAAAAACTAGTTTTCGTCCACGACTCTGTCTGCTAATTATTATGACTATAAATAGATGTTAGAGGAATCTATTCCAAATTTTATCGAAATCTATATAAACAACAGTTTGTAGCCTAAACGGATAATCGTTTAGGGTACAAACTATAAAAAAACAATTATCCATCCATCCATCCATCTAAACTATCGCATATGAAATATTAGTATAAAGTACATTAAATATGTAAATAACTGACTTGGCTCCCCTGAGATCTGATTGTATCCTGGCAAGGTCCCGCTTGGAGAAGGCGTCGCTCTCCTCCAGCACCGCCATCACGTGCTCGGGCTGCGACAGGTTGGGCACGTGCAGCACGCCAGTGAACGCCGACAGCACTTCCATGTCCTCCAGGACTTGTCTGAAAATTACATACATTACTATTGTTAACAAAAAATCAGTACAGGATTGGCACAGCACTACATTATTGGCATTGACGTCCCGTCCCTATCTGAGAGCTGTCAATGTCATTGACGTATTAGAATAACGCGCCATACTGGCGATTAGTATTTATGTATTCACGTAAAAACTACTAAGCCGATTTCAAAAATTTCAAAATTCACCATTAGATAGGTAATTTATCTGTAACTAACATAGGATATATTTTTTAATTTCACGCTGGCAAAGTCGCGAGAGTTTCTAAATCGGCCCAGTAGTTTTTGAGTTATTCCAATACATACAAAATTACTCTTTATAATATTAGTATAGATGTTCGATATCCCTTGCGCAGTAGCCTACCTTCGGCTGCTGGTGCAGAGTATGAGGAGCTTGCGTCCTTTGGGCGGCTGCTTCTTCAGCAGCACGAGGAGTGCCTGCAGCGTCAGGTTGGAGTATCTTGGGCCGATGGGGCCGTAGTCCAGCAGCCGCTCGATGTTGTCCACCAGGATACACGAGAGGCTGGAGCGGTACGCATCATCGAAGTACTGGAACAAGACAACTTGTTAAAATAATCGATATCAGAGTAACGGCATCAATACATCTTTGGTGTATATGTCCCATCCCTATGACATCTGTCAAGGTCAATCAGAATCATATATATCTCTTCCCTACTAATATAATAAAGCGTACAAACCCTATTTCGTGGCGTAATATGTCAGCAATCACAGCATATTTTTGAATAATTCTATCTTTAACAAAAAGCACTACACTCACGACACGCTTTGAGCTATATATCTTCACGCTATTAAACTTGAGGAGTAAATAGGTTTGATAAAGCCGTCATGCGGGAAAGGGATAAAACTACAAGTTTACAACATAAAAAAGCAAGATTGTCACGGTAATAATAATCCAATATCGAAGACCTTCATGTCATTTGTGTATTTGAATTTTGTCATTTGCAATTGGAAATTCCACAAATGTGAACGATAAAATAAAATTTTCATAATTTCATGCGGATAAAGCCGCACGGGAACAGCTCGTCAGAGACACAGTCTTGGCGATACGCCGTAGACTATATATTGAGTATTACATTGTTACAATTATGATCTAAAAATAGACTAGATTTGTGTCTGAAATTAATCGAGGCAATGTCTACACCATTTTAAGACAGTTTCCAGTGATCACATACCTTGCGTATCTGCAGACACTTGGCGGTCTCGGTGAAGCCCACCATGTCCTCGGGCGAGCAGACCTTCACGAAGGGGAAGTCGGAGCGCTTGGCCAGCTCCGCCGCCAGCGCTGTCTTGCCGCTGTTCGGCGGGCCTTCCAGCAGCACTGACACTAGACCTAGAAAATACATTTTATTAAAAAAGATGTTCCCATACCTATTCATGAAACTATAAAATTCTCAATTACTAATGTCAAAATTCAAATGCATAAAATAAAAAGAAAGCCTTTGACATTGGTTAACATTTACGGTTGCCATAGCAACATTGCTTCTTTGAAGTTGTCAGCTTGTAATTTATGGTCCCTTTCCCACATGAAGGTATTTTCAATTTATTTACCCCTAAGCTTAATAGCGTGAAAACATAGCCTAAAAATAGCCTAAAGCGTGTCGTAAATGTAGGGCTTTCGATTAAAGAAAGAATTATGCAAAAATGTACTGTGATGACTGACATCCTACGCCACGCAGTAGTATGTATTTACGCCTTATTACATTAGTATAGAAGTATATGATATAACCAATATGTACTTATCATAAAGCCTTTAAGGGTTTTTAAATGTCATTTATTGTTTTTACCGCTGGCCTCAGTAGCACGGGCTTGTTGTATGTAGAGCAGGCCGTCCTCCAGCAGCGAGGAGACGGGCGAGCCCCAGTTGGTGATGCCACGGGAGAGGAAGTGCTCCAGCGCCTCCGCTGCCGTGCCGAATGCCTATTGCACACACACGTCGTTATTTATGGAAATACTTAAAGAGATATCACAAATCACCATCATCATCATCACCTCCTTATCCTACTGCCGTAGGCGCAACAGGTTTTTGTCCTCCACATAACTCTATCATACGTCATCTCATCACACCCTTCTTGATCATGTCACCTTTCACGCATTCCATCGCCATGTCTTTCTAGGTACCGTAAATATTTGCTTAAAAATAACTTTAAAAATACATAATGTAATATAAATATGTACATAAAACATAAAGCTAAATTGTTAAGTTTTAAATATACATATAAAAACACATAGCTCCTATTTTAAATTTTAATGATTGTGTTTTAGTATGTCATCTTACTAATATTATAAACGCAAAAGTTTAAATTGAAGGAAATTTGTTAGAGTTCGTAGACTAAACTGCTGAACGAATCTCGATGATATTTGACATACATATAGAAGACAGTCTGGAAGAACAAATTCAACGCAAACGGAGTCGCGGGCGAAAGCTAGTGATTTTACTAATTTTCTTTTGTTTTATATTTCATTCTCTATGTCACAATACATACAACATATTACTTACTGGTTTAATATCATTTTCGAGAGCATGCAGGAAGTCAGTGCGTTCCACCATGAGTTTCTCCATAGCCTCAGGGTCCACCTCCACCTTGCTGGAGGCCTTGATCAGCCGGTTCATGGCCGTGGACTGCGCCGCGCGCACAAGACCCTCCAGCTCCGCGCCGGAGAAGTTCTTTGTCAGCGCTGCCAACTCCTGTCGCGTATACCGTTATAGTGTTACACATTATTACGTTTATTTTATTGTATAAAAAAACGTTTATTTGTTTTTAAGTCTACTTGAAAGGCAGTTTTCTATGAATAACTTAACCAATATTTTTTTACATTCTATTTTGTTTTTTGTTTATTTCGCTACTTCATAGTAGTCGAAATAGTTAGTGCAAATTTATTACAATATATGCATGACAATTACTTTTTACTAATTGGACCGTAAGTTCTATGGAGATCCCGGAACCCCTAACTAGAAGCTAGCCACCGATTAGGTTTGAGTAGGTCAAAGCCCTCATAATCCTGTCTTCCCCCCAAAATACAAGGTATCTGTGATATACGCTGAATACAAAAAAAGGTATAGACTGGCCTCGTTCCAATGACTACCAGGAAGATTCTGGAACCCTCTACTATTGCACTAGAGGCTAACCACTGATGAAGTTTGAATAGATCAAACCAAAGATTTCTCCTCGATACCAAATAGAAGGGTACAGACTGACCTTGCAGTCGACATCCTCCGCGATCTTCTTGTACTCCCTCATGCGCTTGGTGTGAATGCTGAGGATCTGCACGCGGCCCGTCTCGTCGGGCAGGCCGATCTCCATCTGCACCTCGAGGCGGCCCGGCCGCATCAGCGCCTCGTCGATCATGTCGCGTCTGTTCGTCATGCCGATCACTAGGATGTTGTTCAGCTGGTCTACACCTGCACACCACATTACACTTCGTCTCCACCGTTGAAATGCCAATAGCCTAATGGTTATAGGTACGGATTTCCGATGCGATCGAAAGTTCGAATCCATTCGACTGTAATCCATATCTATTGACACTCACACATATCCCACCCAATGGTACAAGAAATATTTGTAAATCAACAAACATGTGCTAGTTTATAAAAAAATATAACACTTTTTTAACAAATAAAGTTACAACTATCAGGTCGATGTTGAAAATTCTTTTTATTAGAAATCTCGTAGATTCGTTTAATAAGTTACACGTACTAACATAATAAGCTATGTTTATTATTGGAATTATTTTTTAATTCCGCAAGCCCAAAATTGCGAGCAAGTCTATTTGAAAATCAATAGGAAAAAAAAATGTAAAGCTTATGCATAACATGAAATAATTCTGTCCGTCAAATGTATTGTAATAATTAAAAAAAATTATTAATGTATGATGTCTATCTGAAAGTGCCTAGAGTTTATGTTCTTTTCGAAGTTGCGAGCCTGTATAAAGTTTGAACATCATTATACCATCAATCTTGGAGAGCAGCTGGTTGACGACGGTGTCGTGCACGCCCGTGTTGCCGCCCACGGAGCCGCGCGCCTTGCAGATCGCGTCGATCTCGTCGAAGATTATTATATGCAGACCGCTGTTCGGCCCACACTAACAAAATTACAATTACATTTACAACTAGCTGTTGCCCGCGACTTCCACCACGCAAAAGTTAAAAAGTAGCCTATAATATGCCCGTCTATATCAGCTATCCTTCAGTGAAAGTCTGGTCAAAATCGGTCCAGGAGATTACCAGGAACAAACGCGTATTGAGGACAGACAGACAGACAAAAAAAAATTAAATGCAATTTCATTATCAGCATCGCAAATAGATCTTCCCGAAATCTGGAATTTTTCTTTTGGCATTACAAACAGACACTCCAATTTTATCATATGTATAGATTGAATATAATTAACCACTTTTTAAATTAGTATAATAATCTAATTAATATTAGTTACTTGAATTGGTTTGAAAATATTTAAAACCAAAATCTTCGTAATAAATAGCGCTGTTATTTTTGGAAATTTTATTATTATCGTAATAACATAATCCATTCCGTCTCCCTGCAAAGTAACACCGGTAGCTATAATATTCACTGGAATACTAGAAAATTCTATTTAATGCTTACCCTTTTCTCTTCTTCTTCGGCGTCGGCGAACAATCGTCGAATGTTGGCCTCACTCTCACCAACATATTTGTCCAATATTTGTGGACCGTTTACAATTTTGGGTTCGCGCGCGTTTAGCATCTTGCCGATCTGTCTGGCCATTAGAGTTTTACCAGTACCAGGTGGCCCGAATAATAAAATACCCTTTACGTGCTTGCAACCTAAGGAAAAAATAATTTTAGTATCATATACTCAATACTCATTATGTGTAAAGACATGAAATAATTTTACCCAATTGTTCGACAACTTCCGGTGGGAATACGCGAGACGCAAACGCACGTCTGAAGATAGCATTAAATTCTTTGTCCAGACCGCCGATGCCCATTTTGCCGAAATCCCAATCAGGATTGATGATTGATTGACGAGGCTGTTTCCTGTTAATTATATAAAATACGATGTACAGTCAGCTTCATAAACATGTATATGTTTACATTTAAAAACCTACATATGAGTTTGGTTTCAAAAATATAATGCCACATATTCGTCCGTAGAATTAAATTTGTATTATTGACTTATATGTTCATATATATATTTTAAACCGAAAGTGTTTACAGACTTCTAATTTTGTAAATATATATATGCTAACTGTACATAAAAAAAAACTCAAATGGGATTTATTAATTTATAACTTTTCACGACCTGTTAAGGTTCAAAATTGCATGTAGTTTTAAATATTCTGTAATTACACTTACCCTTTAGCCTTTCCTACTAAGTTTAGGGAAGAATTCTCAGCTTTATCAAACTGTATGCATGCATCAGGTAGAAGTCTGCCCATCCTCACTCGACGAGGGATTGCGTTTGCACCTGATGCCAACGCTTGTACGTCCACGGCTAAACAAATATTGGACAATATTTATTAAAATTGTACAATAAACATCATTGAAAGACATTTCACAAACATTCCATATTATCAACCAGTACATTTATAAGGCTTCTATGAGCCAAGCAATCTTCACAATATAAACATAATATTCCATTCTTAACTAAATATAAAATAGTTATACAATAAAATTACCTTCTAAGTTCTTTACAATTAATGACAAGACTTTTTTATCCTGGAATGCAAATGCCAATTGTTGCCCAACGGTGAACACTTGGTTGGAAAATTGAATAAGGAAATCGCGCGCCATCTGCTCTGAATCGTACGGTTCCAGCGATGTTCTAGGATTAAAAAGTAGTTCATATCATTATTCCAAATTAGTGTATATTCTAGAAGACTATAATGGCATGCTGGAATTCAAATCAGAATAACTGAAGACAACTGAAGACACAATTACTACGCTATCGTTATTAGATAGCCACGTAATCTATACATATAATAAAATTGGGTGTCTGTTTGTGATATCAAAAAAAAATACAGATTTCGGGAATATTGTGTATATGCGTTTCTGATAACGAAAATCGCATTCAAAAAAGTTTTGTCTGTTTGTCTGTCTTTATATCCCCAAGCCGCGTTTGTTCCGGGTAATCTCCAAAACGATTGGGCCGGATTTCACTGAAGGGTAGCTGACATGGATAGGCATATTATAAGCTATTTTTTTTTAATTTCGCGCTGTCAAAATGGTGTAATGGGTGGTTCAAATCTGCGCTAAAGAAATTTGCAGGCGACAGCTCGTATAAAATATAGTTTAGTAACAACAATAAGGAATTTGCGTGTTAATTCCAATTACGTCATAACAGAGATAAGTCATGTATCATTACATGACACAAATTAAATATCAAGACTTCAATTGTGTATTGGTATAAATTATATTTCAATGTATTTTTTTTTACTTGGAAACCGTAGTAGCAAATTGTTACTTTTTTCCATGAATTAATGGTATCTTATGTTTAGTGAGAATGTTAAAAAATATAGCTTACGTCTTCTTTAGCATAAAGTCCGCATCTAAGGTGACACTGCACAAACATTCTGCGTTTTGTGGCTTGAATGGTTTCACATCTATGGGCTGAAACAAAATATTTATTCTATACTAATATAAAGATGAAAGATTTGTTTCTTTGCATTACATAAGGTTAGAAACTACCGACTTGATTTGAGAAAAGCTACAAATACTGGGAAGGTTTACTGTCCCTAGGGGCCAATGGCTATTTGGTAATATTTTTGACCAACTTCCCAAAAGAAGGAGGTACTATACTGTACTAATTCATCTGTATATATTTTTTAAATTAAATTCTGCACAGATTAAATCGCGTGTATAAAACTATCAAATATAAATAAATATTTAAGAAAGAAAATTAAAATTAAAAAGCTAGATTCTTCTCAAAATGATATAGTTCACATCAATTTCAGAATATGATTTGTTGGTTTTAGGAGTTAGTGTTTAGAATGAGGGCGTAAGTCTGCAAGTCGTGACGTAACTTATCGATCTCTACACTGCAACTCTTATAAATGTTAAGTGCAAGATTTGTAAGCAACATATTATAAGATTATTAATACAACTTAAATTATTAACTTACGACAGTACCAATTACAGGTATTTATGGTTATAAAATAGAGGTCCAATACAACAGTAATCATTTATCTTGACATTTTTAAGTGTAGAGCAGTATTGCGAGATGGGACTTTCATATTTGAAATGAATTCCACTAGTAATGTAGGTAGACCAAAGGATGGACCAACAATCTCATTCAAATTAAAGGCTTCTATAAAGTCACATGTTATAATATATTCACCATTCACTAATTTAGAGTGTTTAAAATTATATGAAAATAATTAAAAGTACTAACTTGGCCAATGGAAAGTGTAGCCCATTTTCGTTGCGGTGCTGAAAATCCTACTGTACCACGATCGACACCGCTGTAGAACCGAATACTGAAGACAAAATGTGATGGACCAGTAGATACTTCAATATGCCTGAAATTAATATTATCAAAGTTGTACTATTTTGTATAAGAGCTGTTTATAAAATGTTAATACTATGAGATAGGCTAGACAATCAATATGTAAAAAGTAGTACAGATTGCATAATCTGCAAAGGTTGCAATTTATACACAGAAATAAGAAGAATCAATATAATTGTAATTTATCCATATTAATTATATCTATATCATACTAATATTAAAATCTGAATTAAAATCAAGGTATTTTTTTTAATTTTCCCGGATTTCAGTCGGCACAACACATTTCCTTCTGGCATGCAGTCACTTAGCCATAAACTAGTGTAAATATCAATAGAATATTGATTACTAAAAGCAGAGTATGTGTTTTTGTAAAGAAAGCGAAAGGAATGATTATCATGAAAAAATAGAAATCTATGTTTGTCTTGATGTGAATGTAAATGTGGTTATATGATTATTGAACATACTTGACATCACTAGGAAAATCGTCTGGATTAACGAGAGCACAATTTGTTATAGCCAGCTCATCAGAGGGACATTTTGCTGCCTTCATTCGCTGAAATCACAATATAAGGTAACATAATTCAATTTCATATACTTCCCCCAATATCAATTTTTAGAATATAGATTAGATTTTTAGAATATACTATTAGTATTTCCCATACTAAATATTTGTAACGGCTATCTTTAAATGATATCTTTTTTTTTAAAATAAAATGTGTAAAGAAATTATAATCAGATTTTTTTTGTGCTAAAGTGATTAACCAGAAAACAAAAAGGTTTTAACAAGTTAAAAGGCTGCTTAATCGATAAAAACTTACCAATGAAGACATTTTTGTGTATATATTTATTACAATTTCTTACAAATCAATGTTTTGACAATATTGATTCACGTTGAGAAATTGACGTTGATGAAACCAAATAATCTGACACTCCTCGCTTGATACAGCGAATGACTGCATTGAACTATTTTGGCTCAAAACCAAATCACTCACGAACTTAAGAATCACGATCGCGATCAATACAACTTGAAAAGTATTGCCATTTTAACTAAATTAGCTTTGTTTTTAATAGTACGTATCCAGTTATTTATAACGCCTGTTAAATAGGTATTATAAATACTTTTTAATGCCGTTTACTATTTACCGCCTCTTTTGAAGGAAAAGTCATAAGGCAACCAAAAATACAATGAAAGTACAACCAGGACATCATTTCAAAAGTTCTATTCAATAAGAAATAGTAGATTGATTGTTATTAAAATAAAATTAACGAACACAACTTTGTACTCCATCACAAAATCATGAATTTACCTTAAAACATTGTAATAACGTCAAATGGTAAGATTATATTGACAAAACTTCAATAGGAATTATAAAATACGATCGTTAAAGTAAATCGATTTGAAGACAAATTGAATTAAACCCAACAAAATATCAGACCTTGATTGTGTCAATGTCTATTATTATATATTCTGTGCAGTCTGAAATTAAATGTGAATCTGAATTACAAATGGCCGACGTTGATCGCGTTAGTGCGGTAAAAGTGTTTTGTGACAAATAAACAATTACATTATAACTTATGTCTCGTTAAACTTTGTGTGTAGTGAAATTATATATGAACCGTTATAAAATGATACCAAGTATTTTTTGTAAATGGGTACATGAAAATTAGACAAAATTATCATTAACCTCAAAAAATATTAACAAAAATGGAGCTTCCACAACCTCCAGCAGGTAATGTTTAGTTTATTGCGTTTAAATTATTAAATCATAGTTACTCTGTTTAATACCTAACGTTTACATTTAAAGATCAAGACCTTCGCAACATAATAGATAAATTGGCTCAGTTTGTTGCGAGAAATGGCCCAGAGTTCGAGAAAATGACGAAACAAAAACAAAAAAACAACCCTAAGTTCAGTTTCCTGTACGGCGGAGAGCACTTCAACTACTACCAGTATAAAGTGACGACAGAACAAGCAAGTAAGCATTTATCACTGATGGCAAAGATAGAATGTTGCGGTCGCGGCCGATCGCTTGTTTGCATGTTGTGATAACCGTTTCAAGTGAACCTCCGCTGTTTATAGTTCTAAAGCAATCGGCCGGTGGGCAGTCTGCTCCCGCGCCCGCCGGGGCTTATATGGCACAGAACAGGCAATATGTAATGCCCCAACAGGGCGGTGCTACGGCCGCGCAGCTAGGGCTCGCGGCTACGATGGCGGTCGCACCGGCGCTCCAGCAATGGTTGGCGGTGAACTCCGTCCCACCCGCGGCGCCCGCTCATCACTCTCACGACATCGACAACATCAATGTACAGATCAACATGCTCAAGGAACAGATAACTCAGTCGGAGAATAATCTCAGTGCTCAGCATACGGTTAGTTTTATATAAGGTTAATTAAATCCTAAGATTAATTATTCCTAGATATTGGAATGTAAGCATAATATTTGATGTTACAAAAACTGCTATCAAGCTACTTTTGTACTACAAAAAAATTGTACTAGTGCTAGAAGATTTTATAATGAAGAAATCACCGCTAGTTTGCTCCCTTATAAAAATAAAAGAAACCATTCATCAAATAATTCATCCTCATACAATATTACATCATAATGTGCTAACAGCTACAGATATTCTATGGAAACGATTGTTTGATATGGTACAGTATTTTTAATGGATGATATAATTTAAAACTTGAGTCTTATATACTATCGTCTATAATATAATTTAATGTTATATAATTAAATATCTTTATTACTTAAGTAATGTAATAAGTCAAAAATTATTATATTATAATATATAGATAATTAATATATGTAATTATCTATATATTTTTTTTATTATCTAAATCTTAAAATGAAAAGTTTAGAGGAATGGATGTTTGTTAGAGTTTCTCCTCCACAGCTGAATGTATTTTGATGTAATTTGTCATGTATACTTAGTATGCTTTTATTTTTTTTAATTGCGGTGTTGCATGCGATAGTTGTACATAAAGTAATATAAAGGAATGATTGTAGGTGTTGATACAGCAACAGCAAGCTAAGATCAATGAGTTGGTGGGCAAGGCGCAAATGGAAACCATTCAGATTATGGCTGATGAAAACAACATCAGTCTCAGTGAATTGGACAATATTTTGCAACCAATAATAGAATCATGTACTAAGGATAGCATTTCTTCGGGTAAGTGTTTTAATTTACTATAGAGGAATCAGCGTTATCACATCTTATGTTAACGTTGTAATTGCCTTAAATCTCAATATTGGATAGTGTAATTGAATGTAAAAGACTGGCCGTAATAAGTGTTAAATCTGGCATCACATTTTTTAATAATATTTTTTAAAATTTTCTAATGTAATTTATTAAATGATGTTTCTTCGAGACTTAGCAGGACTAAAATCTATTTCTATGTGTGTAATTAATGTAATTTTGTTTAAATACTCTGTAGCAATGTTTACATGGTTGTAATTTAACATTTTGTCTTTAAAATAGTATGTTTTGTAGCTCATTATTTAATCTCATTCTGGATGATAATGAAATTAATTTCCTGTAGTTTTTTAATTCAATGTATTTGCTCAATTAACACCCATAGTTTTTTAGTCATGTATTCTATCATATGCACTTGATTTTTATAGATATAACAGTACTAGCTTTAACTTATCATATAAAAATTGATATAGTTAAATTCAATAGAAATGTGGAATTATAAAATTTATGTATTTTAAACTAATTTAACTTCGTAAGACTGTAATCATGGAATTAGTTAAAATGGACATGTTTGTATCATCAACCTAAATACAAAAACATTTTAAAATAAAACCTTAGATTGGAAATGACATTATCAGCCAGTGAAATTTGTGAATAGGACCTCATTTCTATTGAATTTGACTTTGTATTCATTTTTATGCAGTGAAATAAAAAAATTAACTACCTTCAATTTTGATATTGAACTAATAGTATAGTATAATTTCAGGTAAAGGGTGGATTTTACAACATGCAACATCACATGATGCAGGCAAAGTGATCTCACAGCACCTCCTAAGAAAAGTGACCCAGCCCGGAGCAGCTTTCACCCAGAAACTTCATATCATTTACCTTGTAAATGATGTGCTACACCACTGGTAATTAAATATATTTACTACATATGTGATCATTGTTAACTAATACTTCATTGTTTTATAAAAAAAATCATTGTTGCTAACAAACCCATTTATTATTTATTTTTATTATTAAAATGTTTTAAGATTTAGTTATTATATGTAAGATTTTAGAATAGTTTTAGGTAATATTTAAATATGAATATAAAGTTTTGTTGTATATTTTCGAATTGTTGATTTCAAATATAAACTTTATAATTATTTCATTAAAGTTGTAGTACATTTTGTGAAGAGTAATTTTAATTACCATTATCAAGTGTTTCCTGTCCCTTGCTGCAATTATCTATTCGGTGTCTATGATGCTCTTATTCCTAATTACAGTGCACGCAAAAACGCGGAAGATCTCAAGAAAAATTTGGAAAATGTGGTGGTTCCCATGTTTTGCAATGCCAGTATAGGTAACATATTTATAATAATGTCCTCGAGATTTAGGTCTCTTGTTCGATTCTGCATTCTCATCTTGAATAATAAGCATCCTTAGAACACCATCACCTGCGGTTTGCGCCAGCCAGGTAACTTGCTTGAGTCGACTGACTCTAGCGACAACCATGTAAACATTGATCTGTTTCAGCCGTCACCGAGGAACAGGAGGCGAAGCTTAACAAGCTGCTCCGCTTGTGGGAGTCCAAGTCCAACTATTTCGAGTCTTCGGTCATTGAGAAAATGAAGAGCCCCACCTCCTCCTACCAGGAGTATCAGGCCAACCTCATCGCGCACCACTCTAACGCCATCTCGCATCTTACACAACAGACTAAAGCAACATTCGAAAAGTATGCATTTCATTTATTTAATTAAGATTAGATACTTATTTCTTTACTTAATTTAATGTAAATTTTCAGCTATCAATCGCAACATCAAGCATTTGTAGCTCACACAATGCAACAGATTCAGCAATTGGAGATGCAAAAGCATGCATTGGAATTGCAAAATCAGGAACACAAAGATAATACTCATCAGAAAAATGTGCCACCACCACAATTTGAAAACAATTTTAATGAACCAAATTTCCCTCCGATGGGATTTCATGAACAAAACTTTAACTCGAGCCATCAGTTCGGCAGCGAGAGCGGAGATAATTACGCCTCTAACAACAGTATGAGTGGGAACGAGAACAGCTACGATAGTCAAGTGTTTGATCAAATAATGGCGCATAAAAAACCTGTTGAAATAGAAAAACTGGACCTATCAAATCTTCCAAAAGTGAATTTCTCCCAGCCACCTCCCGGTTTCACACCACCTGACAAACTACCCCTGTTAGCATTCCAAAATGGTCTTCCAGATCTTAGTAAACCTCCCCCAGGATTCATGCCATTCCCAGAAATAAATAACGAAGACTTAATGCCTTCTGCACCATATTTTGAGTTGCCTGCGGGTCTGATGGTGCCTTTGATAATGGTAAGCAATATTTTTATTTACTTTACAAATTTACAGTTAATCTATTGATTTTTAATCAAAGCATTTGTTATGGTAAGTATATAATGCATGGAATGTCAACTTATGTGTTATGTTTGGTATTATAGAATCTTTACATGATTGTTCCTATGTATATAAACAATATTGTAATATGTATTAATATTAATATAGCTGGAAGAGGATCGGTATCGTCCCCTGGACCCTGCGAAGATCCGTCTGCCGCCGCCCGCGCCGCCCAACGACCGGCTGCTGGCGGCTGTCGACGCCTTCTACGCCTTGCCCAACCACGAGCGGCCTAGGGATAAGTAAGTTTTACATAATAAACATACCATAATATCCCTATAAAAATATCTTATACCTTTAACTTAGAATAGGCAGAGACATATTTCCATGTTCATGATCCTAGCACACCTCTATAGATTCGATAATAATTTTTGAGTTAGTTAATTTCTCTTTAGGCTCCATTCACACAGACTGAAGTTTAAAACAGACCAGTTTTTTTTTGGCTAATAAAGTTGAGCAAAGGCTCAACTTGAGAGTAAAGACTCTCGCTCTTGATCATAAAAGTCTAAAATTAACTTCTTGAATTGTATGAGTCTATTTTATTTGTAAAAATATGCTCTGCTTTCGGTTTGTCTGTACCGAGTATTGGTGTCCATTAAATATTTAAAAACAACCAAAGCCCAAAACCTAGCATTAGTAATGTTGTATTAAAATAATCTTTTTTTTTTCCAATTTTAGTGAAGGATGGGAGAAGCTTGGTCTATATGAATACTACAAAGCCAAGAACGCGGCTCGCAAACGCAAGGAAGAGGACATAGCGCAGGGTAGGAGACAGCGCTCCAAGTCGCCCAGTCCCATACCCAAAGACCTGCAGAAACAGCCCACACCACCCGGCAGACGATACAGGTAAACAATAATAACTGCAATAGAAAAGTCTAGAATTTGTTTTCTAAAATATAATGTTTTACCAATCTTTACTTCTATACTATTATAATAAAGCGTAAAAACACACTTCTTTGTTGCCTAAGATGTCAGCAATTCAGCATATTTTTGAATAATTCTGTTTTTAATAAAAAGCCCTACACTTACGTCACGCCTTAGGCGCTTTAGGCTTTATTTATTTTAACGTCATTAAACTTAGGGGTAAATATTTTGGATAAAAGCCCTAATGTGGGAAAGCTGCTGCCAACGTCAAGGAAGCAAGGTTGTCATCATGTCATGTCATTTTGACATTTGTAATTTGACAAATGTAAACAAAGTTTACATTTGTCAAATTGTAAATAAAGTTTTTATAATTCCATGCGGAGGAATCCGCACGGGAACAGCTAATCACCAATAAAAAATAATAAAGTCAATGTTTGTTGTTATAGATCAAAAAGCAAGACGCCAGAGAAATCTCCAGTGCAATCAAAGTCACGGTCGCCGTCTCCCAGACGGAAACAGACATCGTGGAGGAGAGAGCGAGACCGAGATAGTGAGTGTTGTCAGAAATGAATATTAGATCTACCTTTTTATTTATTTTGAGAACTATGACGTAACAGTTTATGATGTAACGGAATGGTGCGACTTTTTATTTGAAATATAAAAAGGATACAAATAAGGAAAGATCGCGCGGAGAAAGTTAAAGGAATTAAAAAATGAAAATTGATATAAATAAGGGAAAATAAGGTTAGGGTAAAAAAAGGCTAATCACATGGCCAACAAAATGTATTGTGTATTTAACGGTAATTATAATTGCAGATCGTCGGAGGTCGCGTTCAAAATCCCGGTCTCGGTCACGCAGCAAGTCGCGGGAGCGAGAGCGAGAACGAGACCGGGAGAGGGAGCGAGAGCGCGAGCGCGCGCGGGACTCGCCGCCCTCGAGATCTCGACGCGTAGAACGTTCCAGATCACCTACACCGCCTAGTTTTCTGTTAGTTCAGTGTTACTCTATATAATATTCGATATTCTTAAACTATGACAAAATAACTGGTGCAGGTTATTTTTTTATTGACATTAAGGGCGATGAAGACTTAAACTCACTGAACTAAATTTAATTTTTATCTTATGACATCCATGACTCAATTTAATATTACCTAATATATGTAAATTTAAAAAAATTAAATATTGAGATGAATTGTAAAGGGAAAGATTTGTTTGATTATTTGAATTTTGTATGTGTACTTTTTTGTATGTAACTCAAAAACTACTGGGGCGATTTCAAAAATTCTCTCACTATCAAAAAGATGTCTTATCGCTGAGTAACTTAAGGTACATTATTTAATTTGACGGGGACGAAGTCGCAAGCCGCAGCTATCTTATATAAAAAAATAAATATGTTGTAGTTGTGGTACGTTGCCATCGACGTCCGGTCTGGACTCCAGTAACAAGGGTCACCAGCTCTTGCAGAAGATGGGATGGAGCGCGGGCGGGCTGGGCGCGGCGGGCCAGGGCATCGCGGAGCCCATCAGCGGCGGCGCCGTGCGAGACAAGCAGGACCAGTACAAGGGTAACGAACAACCAATATAACGATTTTTTGATTGATTATATAAACCCTAAAGGAGCGTCGGTGGCTCAGTGGTTTGAACACTTGACTTGTAATCTACATGTCTTGGGTTCGAATCCCGCCATGTACCAATGTGATTTTCGATTTTTCGAATTTTCATATGTACATAATTTACTCGACGTTCTTACGGTGAAGGAAAACATCGTGATGCAACCTGCACATATCGGCGAAGAAATTCAAAGATATGTGTGAAGTCCACCAACCCGCACTTGGCCAGCGTGGTTGACTATGGCCTAATCACCCCGTATTAGGGTAGGCTCCGAGCCCCTCGGTGGGGACGTATAGTGAGCTGGTGATGATGATGATGATGATATAAACCCTGTTTACACTAATACTCGTAAAACACTCACAAATTGCTTAACATTTTAGAATATCACTTCAATTTATAGACAAGGCGTTTATATATACTTTATAATTGTGAATATAAAAAAATTCACCTATAATTAACACGGAATTAAAAAGTCAAATATGGCCGACATTGATTTAATGGGCTTTCAATTTCAATAAAGAATGATTGAAACACCAATTTATTAAATTGCTATGTTATATCTGTGAAAAAAAATTGGTAATTTTCATGAATACAATCTTATTTCAGAAAATAAAAGGGATATAACATGATTATTTTGTAAATAATGAAATTCAATCTTGTCATAATTGGGTTGACAAATGCAGTTACACTTGTACATGTTTAATTTTTTTTTGTTTCAGCAGTTTCCTTTTTGTTTATTAGAAATTATTAACCAACTGGCATTGTATTTTTATAGGTGTTGGAGTAAACCTAAATGATCCATATGAAAATTTCAGAAAGAACAAAGGTGCGGCATTTATTACGAGAATGAAGGAGAGGGCTCTCGAACGGTCATCGTGATCGAACATAGACTTTATACACCAATGTAAATGTGCTAAATGAAGTGTCTGTGCGATTGGTGATATGATGGATTTTATCAGAATCATCGTAAAATAAATTTATGATATTTTTGTCTTTATTATTATTTTAAAATATAGTATAAATGCTAATTTTTGTTACATTGTTTTAAAAAATATGCTGCAATCAACATTGGAACAGGCCAAAAACTTGAATAAAGTGTTAAATCATTTTAAAATTATAGTTCTAAACATTCTTCATAATTATTTTGGAACTCTGCAAGTGTTTCTAACCTCTCCTTAAATTCTTCCATTTCACATCCTTCTCCGCTAAACTTGTGCAGTTTATTGAACTTTATTCTGCCAACTTCCTTTCTCAAATTTTCAATTGTGTTTGACAGAAAGTTGCCATTATGGTAACCTGCCATCAAAGCGCAACTCTCAACTTTAGTTCCACTGCTCTCATTTGTAACAAAACCGTTTTTATTTAACTTTTCTGAGAATATATTTGGGTATGGTGGTTTTACTTGTAATGGTTTTTCACATATCGTTACATTTGTAGCAGAAAGGAAATGATTTGCTTGGAAATACAACTCGAACATTTCTTTGATGTTACTGTATTTTGGGTTTCTCTCATCTTTTTTCATTAAGTATTCTTCGATTCCTCTGATAGTGATTAGTTGGAATATTTTATCGGGAGCTATTTCACAATTAGGTGTTATTGATGTGTAAAGAGATTTTTCATTGAGTTCTAAGAATTCATTAATATATTGATCTTCAGGTATAGCAAATGGTAACCTCAGTGATGCTGCTGCCATCTTTCTTCCATAACCAGACATATCAGCACAAGCATCGGACAATGTGTAAATGTTAGACTTAAGCCTGTATTTGTAACTTAATGTATCCAAAGCAGATGCTAAAATGCTACTTGAGTGGTAGTACAGTTCTGGCTTATAGTTTAAATGATCAAATAGTAATGCCTTGCCCAGTTTCCTCCATCCTTTGCTGCCAGTACAAAGAGGAACAAATAGTGTTGCCAGTTGTGACAATTCACTCAATGAGAAAGCAATATTTACTAATCTCTCTGTATCTTTACCAATTGATATTTCTTTTTCCTCATCAGTAGAAGGATTATTATCAGGAAAATAAGAAGGTATTGTTGGATGAGCTAATATTGATTTGGAGTATTCATCAGACAAATGTTCAATACAGCCTAGAGCAAGGCCGGCAAATCCATCAATACAGTCAAAGTTCACATGAAAACCTTGCATACTGTCACATTCTTCAACATAGTTCCTTATTTTATCAGAAAACGATTCACCATAGTCCTTTTTCCATAAAGATTGTCCACTGTGGAAGATGTCGAAACTTTCCTAAAATAAAATGTTAAGTTATTAATGGATAAACTAACAAAGTTGTAGGTTACAAAGAGGAGATCTTAATTTAAAAGAAAAATTAACTACTACAATTTAAAACTGCAAGATAAGTAAAACTGTTTATACATACATTAGATCCTTGGTATTCTGTGACAGTATTGATTGTTCTTGAATGTAGCCTGGGATATAAATAATCAGTCCATGTATTAATCTTATCCTCTAATTGGTATTGTTTAGAAACTATTTCATTAAGAGGTTTCGTGTCAATGTCTACTAAATATTCATTCTTTTCGGCCACTGGCTCTTGTATTTTTTCTATAGCATTCCATTTAAAGTCTTCCTGTATATCTTCGTCAGGCAAACCACCATCCGCCGGTAAGGACCTCAAACTACCTTTTAAATCAGATATCAGCAGTCTTGGGGTATAAGTGACTTCCCCCTTGGTGTTACGTCCCTCCCGATATAACACATCGTTGTTGCATTCACTTTTTTCAGTGCCTGTGTAATCAAATCCAAGTTCCTGTATATTCCAGAAATGTGTCCCAATATGATTGGAATAATGGCCAAATTGAAGAGTAAGTATTTCGCGTGTCGACATAATGCGCCATAAAACACCGTATTGTTATAAAAGAAAACTATATTGTTTATTTACTGTTTAGATGAAATCACATGTGAGTTCGATTTAATTTTTGACAGATGACAGCTATCAAAAATGCGTTCAAATCAATGTTTGTTTGTCACCAATCGATTTTGAACTTTGTTAGTTTTTAGAACTTCCAGATGTAGAAAAAAAGTAGCTATGTATGCCATATTTCATCAAAAATCCGTCAGCAGTTTAGACTAATAACTAATAAATATTCATCCCTTCATCTCAACTTTTATAGCGTTTATTGATAAATCAAAATTTTGGCTCAACAATTAACAACCATAAGAAATATACAAAGAAAAACGAAAAGAGTATGCAATGTTATATTAAAACATTGTTGAAAAATCACGTTCCAAATTGATACGATATAAGGCGCTTTACGGAAAATTACATACTCGTTGATTCTACTTTGTAGCGTTTATTAAAATTGGATTACTATCACAGAGATTGATGATATTGTTTTTTATTTTTTAAATAAATGACTTAAAATTTGTGAAATTCAATATTTAGCAGGATTAAATAAAACAACGCGATTATTACTTTCATTTTATTACAAAAAAATTATTAAAAATCATTCAACTTAGCTTCTATAGCTATAAACTAAACTATATTCTAATCTTATGTATTACACTTACAATTCGTGGATGTTGAAATACTGGCAGTGGAAAAATACGTCACTTATATTAAGATACGTCTAAACATCTGCTAGTCAACGGTTAAATGGCCAGTAAATTGTTTACAAAATCTCGTGAACACCTTAATCTCTTCTACTTATGCATTATTGCAGGCTTCTAGCATTTAAGGAATGAATTATATGGTCCGATTACTGGCAACTACCAAATTAGTATTCGAAAAGACTTAAAATATTTACAGAATTGCACACTATTAGATTAAGAATACATTAAAAAAACCCAATGGTTTTCTATTTCTTACTACAGTAGAAAAGTGATAAAATGGCAGCTTTTATGAGTTACTAGTATATACCCCCATAGTATTCTTATTGGCCTTGAGTTCTATAACGTTTTTTAAAATTACATGAAGAAAAGTTTAAGTGTTAACAAATTATTACACACATGAATATAAATACAATATAAGGAAACGTTAAATTTCTAGTTAATGTATCATTTATATTATCTAGAAAGTAATTTTTGAACTATCCTTCCTCATTTCAGATGAATATTTTATATATGCAAAAAGTTTCATTTTGTTCCGTTCAATGTAAAGTATCACATATCTTAATAGATGTACCATTTTACATTATATGTCCCATTTTTAATTAATGACCTCAACAAAGTATACTGATAGAGAAAAGTGCATTTCATGTCTTAGTTGTCTAAGATTGGAAATTAGTTATATACTAATGGAGAAAACATATTTTAGTAATCAAAATAGATTTATATAATCTTTGAGTGAATGACTGTACTAATTTTTAAAAATAATGAATGATCATTAACTTGGCAACAGAACATCAAGTGTTGCCAAGAACACAAGCAATATTATTTTATTTTCAGTGTTACATTTCACATTGTTTTTAAGGGTTTTAACAGTAGTTCACTTATCTAACATATAAGATAGAAAATTATATTTTAGAATTTCTATAAATTCTTCATAAAATCTTCTATAAGAGACATAAAACATTACACACAATAAAATGTCTGCTCGGGATCAAATTCAAGCTATAATTAGAGAGAATAGCAAAAGAAACAAAGCAAAGATTTCAGCACATAAAAAGGCATTTGTAAACAAAGTAAAATTATAAACCATGCTTACATTGTATGTATGTTTGTTTTAACATTTCTATCATTAATTCAGATGGGGAAAAGTCTGTATTTTCTGAAAAGGGCCTATTTATGTGGTTTAATCTTTGCTTAATACAAACTCACACTGATTTATATGAATACTAGCAATCTCATATCACAGTTTCACTTCTAATAGTTAATAGTAAAAAGAGATTGCTTGCATATAAATAATCACACGGAAATTTCAATTTTATAAAATACAGGAATCCTTATTTAATAAAAAAGATTCCTTTACTAACTGGGCAAGGTCTTTTTTTTATTTATTATAATGTTATTGTTTATCATTACACATTTTGTATCACTTGAATGTGTGTAAAAAATGAAATAATTCCTAAACAAAGTTAACTTAAAAAAAAATTTCAAATTCAAGGTTTAAAATCACAATTTTTATATGTTTTACCTAAAAACCTAAAACACTATCATTTTTGATGTAATAAGTAGTCTAGTACATTAAATGCAAGTTTTAATCTTAACTGGGAAAGTTGGTAATGGTGTCTATTGTATAATTCAAAAATTGCATTTCAGTCTCATAAGAGTGTTAATTTTTTTAAGAAATCACAAACAAAATTTGCTATATATTATAACTAAAATATAAACAGTGTATATTTAACAAATAAAAGTTCTGAATAAAAATTCAAAACTTGTATTCATTATTTTTAAAACTGGTAACACACCTTCAATTTAAACTGTGTTACCAGTTTTAGTAAAAATAAAATTCTAGTATTCCAATTTATAGTATTGTTAATAGATCGAATAATTTATGTTTTAACAAATAATTGTCCAGAACGATAAATTAAAGTGCAACGACTAAATCCCGGTACATACATTCAGTTTGAACTGTTCAGTTATAATTGTGCAGTTAAAACAGATATTGTGTAATGAGCTTTGTTTTATAATATATTGCTATGCTAATATTGAATAGAAATTGATAATTGAAGTTATGGTTTCCTTACATATAGAAAAATATTTGTAGAAATACAACATAAGCCTTAAATTTTCTAAGGCCATGGAGCTTATAAGTTTTTTTTTAATAACATATTGAAACAAAGACATAATAATTATACAGAAACATTTCATCATTTTAAGAGATACATAATTGAACAGAAAACACAATTTTTAAGAAAATCATCTTCGGATTTCCTCAACTTATTTAAGAAAGGGGCTAATTCAAAAAAAATGTTTGCAACCTGACTTTAATATTAAATGTAAGAAGAGATTCTTTAGGTAGCTGCCAGTTTAATATAAGCACACGTGTAATACAAATATATATACAAGCGGTGGGATTTAATAAACATACCCGCTCTGCCTTCGCCGCTGAATACAGACATTTCTCATACTTCCATTATTCGAAAAAAAACTTCGATTATTTCCCTTGGACACAAATGTGTGGAAACAACAGCGACGTTTGTACTGACAGTGGCTGAGACAACAACCAACTAAAAACTAAGGGAACTCTCACTCGACTGTAAGAAGTATGGGCCTTAATTACACTTATTATAGTGAACGATATGTAACAAGTGTTTGGCATGTAATCCACATGGTAAATACACTTAACTGGTACGGACTATCACTTTCTTCACACTCACGTCTACAACTACTGCACTCAAGAATCAAAAGTTAAAGTTATCTTAGTTAAGATATTAGTTCACTGGTTGCACTACTGGCTACCGCACTTGCGCTGCGCCCGAATCCGCTCGTGTCTATATGAGCGCCACTCGGTTCACGAGCGGGGTTTTCCGTCTGCTCGTATGCGTGCTTGTCGACACCGGCTGATAGATGTAATTCGTCTTTGCCCTCTTTGCTGTATGTACTGAAAGAAAAAAAAAACAATTAACATCAAATATTGGACACAAATATTATACACAAATGCTTAAAATACTAACTTGAATAATCCCCCGTCATGGACAGGTCAAGCTTCACTGGTTTCGTCACATCGATATCATATTCTTCATAGGACTGGTCCAATACCTATAAAAATATTCAATGTATTATATTAGCACAATATGTTATAGTAGCTTTCGCCCGTGACACCGTCCGCGTTGAATTAAAAATAAAAAACAAAAGAAAGTGAGAAGAGAGTCTATATGGCCTTCCAGACTATCCTCTACATTTATGCTAAATTTCATGAAGATCCGTTGAGCAGTTTGCGCTACAAACTCTTGTCAAACATCCATCCATCCATCTAAACTTTCGCATTTATGATATTAGTAAGATTACCACCTAACAAGGCTTAGTTACATTGCTGCAGTGCAGCAATCGACACCTGGACTGGATTACACCTCGCAACATACACACTGGAATGATGTGTGGGTTTACAGTTGTAATTTGTTTAATGGCACCAAGTGTCAACATAATTAAATCAAAATGTATTATATTGAAATCAATTTGAAAAAAAATGTTCTGAGTCCGATCGCTGTCTTGGAATAATGTGACCTGGGAACTGTAACATTTGTGTAGTTGTGTATAGTAAGGCTTACTTCAACGTCGCTGACGTCATCTGCGGAGTCGAGGTCGGTGACGTAGGAGGCGAGCGCGGAGGGCCCGGCGGCCAGCAGGCGGTACGTGCCGCCCACCATGCCCGTGCCCTCCACCACCTCCTCCACCTCCTCCACCTCCAGCTCCTGGTCAGACGTCTCCTGGAAACATCGCTAAAGTTATTTTTGACACATTGATGATAATTGATACATATATATATATACGAATATTATAAATAGGAATGATATGTATTTTTGCATGCATTGAAATAACAAAAACTACTGGGCCGATTTTAAAAATTCTTTCACCGTTAAAATAATTTGTCTGTGAGTCTGTGAGTGACAGCGGCTATATTTTTTAATTTCACGCAGACGAAGTGGCGTGGAATTGCTAGTTGTTGAATTTTAAGACCTGTGTTTGATATCTCAGAAATCCGAGGGGAAATATGAAATAATATGCAAATTCAATTAGTAAATATTTCTTTTCTAAAGTTATTAATTTAACAGAGTAAATGGTCCTTCAAGTCCGATCTTAACTAGGTCATATTTTAAGTTTCAACAGGTTTATTTACCTAACTTAATTAGAAATGTTATTGCTACTGTGACCTGTTAACGGAATGAACCGATGTTAACCAGGTACTAAATGAAGTTACGAGGTGTAATGTATTTTGTTACACGACGAACATTAATGCGATGAGTACGTAGCGTTACGGTACGATAATAACGAGCCGCATGATGCGAATTTTATACCTGGTAACATCAGTATGCACCTTGAGTGTCTTTTGAGTATTTTGAAGGTTATAGAGGTAAAATTAGCTGGGTTTAGACAATTTCTAATGATTTATAAATTTTGTCATAAAACATTAGAATTAATAAAATACAATGTTGTCGAATTATAAAACAGAAACATTGAATTTACGTTAGCAGGTGCAAAACACTCGATGACAAAATTAAATGTTTTTTTTTGTGCTTCAATTAGCAAACGCTATTACACTCGGTTAAGGTGAATATATTTGAACCGGTTTCAATGACATACTTCTTGAGCTAAATATATATTTGATTAGTTGCTTGTAAATGTAATTCATTAGGTCAATTGAGTGAATTGAACATTTATAAAAGTGAGAACACATTTAATAAGTTAACACAACGATGATAGGTTCATATTGTTTAAGTTTAACGTATATTCAGTAGCGTTGAATTATCCAGTAGTTTAAAACGCTTTAAAAACGTACATAAATTTGGAAAATTAAGACGCTGCCCGACCACTGGCTGATAGAATCTCAGATAGCTTAAAAATGACATCACTGTTGGATAAGGGAACAAAATCCGGTATTTCCATCACAATTTGGTGGGAAAGGTCCTTAGTCTTGAAGTCGGTTTTCGTATTTGTTAACATTTTTTTAATATCATTCATATTAAAGTTCTATAGAAGTTTGTAAAGTTTTGTAAAAGTATACATATTTATTTGTTTTTAACGTCCTAAAGTGTGAGTGCTGACTGACCTGTTCCAGGACGGTTTCCTCGTCGACGTCATCCTTGACCTCGGGGTCTATCTCGAGGTCGGGGTCGAGGTCCGCGTCCACGTCGGGCTCCGCGTCGTCCTCCGCCTCCGTGTCGCTCGCGAAGCCGCTGTACTTCATCTCGCCGCGCTCCAGCGCCTCCAGACTCTCTGTAATATATACTCTTTATTGAACCCATAAATACATTATTTTTTTCTTTTTACATACCATAAATTTTGTAGTAAATTAAATAGTTACTACCCAATTTGCCTTTGATACACTTTACTTGGTACACACAATCAATTATAAAGAAAAAGATAGAATACTTTTTACTTAAAGACATTAAAAAAACTGATAATCACGGACAACGGGATGGAGGAACTTGTATCGCCAGTAAATATCAGTAAATAAAGTGTATTGGAATGATCAGATGACGGATATGCAATCCTAGAATTGGACTCAAGCCAATATAATTTATTTCGTTAAAGATGTGCTATAAATATTGTGGCTCAGTGCATTTTTACGTTTATAAATATATCTTTGATTTTATTATAAAAGTGATAACTGCACTAAACAGTGAACAAACCGCAAATAAAAATGTATTTACCTGGATAAACCATAGCGTTTTTGATAGCTTGCGGATCTTTCCTCGACCATTTCAAAACCTCTTCGTCCATTTTTCCGACTTTTGATGGATTCATAGCCCATAAACAACCTGTAATTAAAATCTTTAGTAATATTTTGTAAACCAATATTTGTTTAAGTGTTGGCAAATGTAACTTTCTCACCTTTTCGTTGACTTCCATTAGTTGAAGGCTTTTCAATTTTTTCAAAACATTTATTCAAACTAAGATTGTGTCGCACCGAATTTTTCCATCCACTTGGCGCTGTTTTGAAGTATGGGAAATGTTGACTGCAAACATTCGAAACATTTTAATAACCATCTAAATCCTAACAGATTTAATAAAGTAATTATTACATACCACATGAAATTATAAATTTCTGAGACTGGCAAGCTTCCTGTCCGGGAGTTCTTTAGAGCCATCGCTATTAGACACGAATAGGAGTAGGCAGGCTTGGGAAACTCTCCCACGGTAGCTTTGCCATTATTATTTAAAAGCTTGGCTTGGCTGTCGACTTTAAACGAACCATTTACAGACGTCTTTATAATTTGTCTACTGTTGCCTAACGAGGAATTGTCTATCAGGATGGTCGCTTGATTTTTATTACCGTTCGCAAGAATTGTCCTAGATTGCTGTGCGTCTAGTATGTGTATATTGCCGGATATTATTGTTTTCGTACCCATGTGTTGCGATTTCTTTTGACTAGTATTTAATATTGAACAATTCTTACTGTTCAGTTTGATCAGTTCAGGTTGCGTTGTCTTTATTCGTACCGTGGTCGGCGAGCTGATCGTCGACACTTTATTTTTAGTACTATCGACGTCTAAGTCTTTTAGTAAATCTTTGACAACGTTTTTATCTTGTTTCCGTATGTATATCAACATTTGTGTCGCTTCTTCTAAAGGTTTGCTTTTAGTTTCCTCGGCCTCTTGTATTTTGGTTACTTTAATAGTGTTAGGTGAGAACGTGAGATGACTTTTCTCTTCTTTTGGGCTCGCTAGTAATGCGTTGCTATTATTCTCGCTGCTTGCTGCAGAAGTTAATAGGAGGTTTGACGCTTCCTCTTTGACGATGTTCTTGACTGGCGTCTCCGCGAATGTGGAAGGCATCACGGAGTTAGGATTGACCATCACAGCGTTCGCCTCTGAACCATATAAATCTAAATTATGTACGAAACTAGAAGAGTTATTGAGCCATGTTACTGAGTTGTCGGTGTCCAGCTCTAACAACGGTGGTAGCTCTGAAAAGTTCAGTCCTAGAGAGTCCTGTAAAAAAAATAGATTTTTACTTTCTTCGTTTCAAAGGCACTATTATTGATATATATTTTTTACTTACAGGAAAATCTGTGATACTGCTTAAATCTGTTGCTATTTCATTTTTAATATCCATGTCCAGCATGTCTTGGAGTGAATCTGTTATGTATAGATCCATGTCTAAGCAGGCCTGTAACAAAAATATACAATTTGATTATACAACTTTTAAACATTCTAAATTCAAAATAAACTACAAACGGGGGTAGATAGATATTAAAAGTTTAGACTACACCTGTCTTAGAATGTCTGGAATTCGGATAGATAGTTTATAATAAATTCTTTAGATCATTTTGTTTTTTAGTTTTTTAATATCACTTACTGCAAACAATAATTGTACATTTAAAATATTATTCTGATTGTTATTAAATCTAGATGTTTTTCCAGTTATATTTATACAAATAAACAATTTTTAGCAAAATTATTTAATGATTAATTATTTTTTCTAACTGGAAATCGTATCTATGGCGTGACGAGTAGCTTAATAGTTTTAATGCTGTTTTGTCAATTGAATTGTTATTAAAACATTCAAGGAATGCATGCAATTTTCGCGCCATCCCCTCTCGCTCGGGAATCGTCGTATAAACGTACAAAGCGTGGCGACGGCGACAGCGCAGCCGTTGTTTGGTATAGAAACCTGTTTTTGTCTCATGGTATGCGCTACCCTAGTTGAAAGAGATATAATATCGCCTTTTCACTTCCACACATTGTCTGACCTAAATTGTATTTTGATAACGAAGATATTGGATTTATACTTTTTCTAGTCAACTAGAAAAGGTGTATTTAAACATTTTATGTTTAATTACATTTACTAGTAATATAGATAGCGAAACGCTTATTTATTTCTGTTATTTTTGACTTAGTATTATTACATATAGTACAGTATAGTACAGTATTACGGCTAAGTTTATTATTATTTATGACTTTATAGTGTTCATTTATAGTTACGTTGAAATCGATTGTTTCAAACCCTAGTTTAAATGCCCCTTTTCTTAAAATAATACTAATGGGTTTTAAATCGATAAAGCAATTGTATAAAAATATTCCCACGTATCGACTGACAATAAATTTGTTGCATTAAAGATAACAATACAATATCATTGTGAAGACCTATACCAACTGACAATTTGTTATAGTTTAGGGGTCGACCTGATCGCTCCTACCTAGAATCGTGAACAAAAAACAGCAACGGACGCACCGGAGACAGGCCACGGAGCCTTACAACATTCGGGACGATGTTTTTTGTCCATGTTTCTAATTATAGGCGTCCTCGACTGGTATGCTCTCTATTAACTTATGAGAATTTTACTTTCATGTCCTTCCGATACAAAATGAAGATTGCTTGTTCCTTACACACATGTGCAGTCGAGGACTTTGAATACTTAACCATTTCGGTTAAATGCCGTTTGACGCTTACAAATAAAAACCATACAGTTTTTGTACACAGATTCGTTAAATAGTTACTAACAGAGATTAAGTTTAATTTTTAATATTTACACTTAGGGATGGTTAATTGACTACTAAAAGCGAGTTTTTTTAGTGTTTTTTAAACGAATTGGTCATCTCTTTAGCGACAACTGTGCTAGTGACGAATGTCATGTTTACCCCTTAGTTTGAAATCGATCCCAGGAAACGTAACAGATGGTGTTTTTAACATTTTTGTTACACTATTATTAAAAAATGATCAGTATGTAAGTCTATATATTGTGTAATATGCAACATATTTTGGTGGAATACGAAGAGTGCAATGACAGATAACATACACGTGTATATCACCGGCAATGACCAATCGCGTTTCTTGTACTGATTACATTATCACGTAATCCTTATCTACGTTATCAAAATCCCGTCAAAATATCAATGTAAACAAATGTTCTAAACATTTTTAACAAATATGTAAGTGCAGATATAGTTTTATATTTGATTGACAAAGAAAAACAAAACAGAAAATCATTTTTTCTACATAACCATTGTAAATTTCCTTATTAAACCAAACATTAATATGAATAGGTTATAGAGTGAGAGGTTTAAGTAGAGGGGTGGTGGAAAGAGACGGAGATAGGAGATCGAAAACGGGTGAATCGACCCCTAATGATATTGCAGCCGGCTTTGCGTCTCGCGCGGGGGACAAGGTATTCGCAATGTGAGAACAGCCGTTTCGGATGAACGATGTTTTGTAATAATATTATATTGACAGCAGTAGATATTTATTATTTTTCTAGTTAAATAAGACAGATTAAACATTAGCTAAAAAAGAACGCTTTATTGGCAGTTCTAACATCTGTTGTTAAATACATAAGTAATCGATCTTTTCGTTTGATCAAGTCTTTATCCTATTGGTACGATCTACTCTTTGTAAAAATGACCTTACAAGCTGCCTTGGTTAATAAGTCTTCAAATCCTTCACGACAACGCTGGGACTTTCTACTGTTTTTTACTCTGTTTTAAGATAACGCATTTCCGGGATTAGCTTTTTGCATAATAATATACCATTCTGACAGTATTTAAATGCGGTTTGGAGAACCAACGCTATGTAGACTTTCGAAACATTACTTTACTTATCTTTGGTACATGATTTCGATTTGAAATTAAATCACTCTTCATCACAACATAAAACATCACGAATCAGTACCTCTTCCTATAAACAGCAGACCCTAATAATTAGCATTTGTAAAGAATAAATTATTAAATATATCTATAGTTCTTGTAAGTGCTTAGTACCCGTAGTTTATTTTAATAAATGTGTTATTTTTAAAAACATTAATTATAGGAATTGAGGTTGTTCTAGTTTCAGTTTCGACTTGACGTCACGTTGATGTCTTTTATTATTCAAATCGACATTACGTTAGTGTTACACGGACAGAGAGAATCCGTAGATCCGCCTCAGCATGCCTCGGCTCAGAGGGCCATGAACCCGTTTCTTTATTATTTAGAGTTCATTTTGCTCACTGCATTGCGACGAAATATGAATTCTCATCCGAATTGTTTTAAAACAATTTAGTTTTGTCGTGTTTACAATATTCTGTATTTTCTGTAATTTGTGTATTTTCTACAGGGAGAAGAATTATAGGATTCAAAATTATTGCATATAATTAATTGTTGTATTTATGTTTTTTTTAAAAAAACATAAGTTCAGAAACCCGGAAGTAGCTCCCTCAATTTCCCCGGTGGTCCGTTTTCAGCTTTGGAACGAAGGTACCGGGCAATGTGGTTTCAGTAAAGCTGGAGACACACGTTCGACTGATGCGACTATGTGCGTCACAAGTCTAATATCATTTTTTATAGACATAAGCCTTATATACTATGTATATATACCAGATGGTGTTATAATTGTAGAATAGCTATATCAGTGAATTATATATCAATCATTTTTTTTTCTCATATTACTCTATACATAAGCGATATTATAAGTTATTGTAATGATTGTTGAAATGTGATAATTTGCAATCAATTTAAATAATCTGAATAAAGTTTGCATTAGCGGCTATTTAGACTAATGTGACAGTAGTGAGTTCGTTGCTATTTTGCTATCGAAGGTCAGTTAATGATATATTATCGTACATAATATTTTTAGAAAATGGTAATGTGTTCATCGAGACACAATTTGGATCCAAGTATATAGACAATGTCAAATTCTTTAGTTTTCTCTGTGAAATTTTGCAAGCTATTCGGAGCAGATAAAAGTATCTCCAAACCAAAACAAAAAATCACATGGATGCTTATAATATAAAATAGATAATTCATACATCAGTAATCCCTACTGTTATAACATTAAAAAATAAAATCTCATAGGAAATTTTTTGGTTTGCATCCGACCTAATCTGTTTGTGGTGGGCTTAGAGGGTCTGTGAGGTAAGCGGAGAGGGGAGTAGCGCCGCCCGCGCCATCGCCCGCCGTGTCCTCGAACCTGACCGCGTGCGATCGCCTTGAACTCAACTCGCTCGGCTCTCGAACAAATCACCTTAGGTCTCTCCGTATACTCGGCTCGGTACCGTGAAAAATCGCCGCCTCGGAAAATTTAAAATGTGGAATATGACAATTTCAAACTTCTCTAAGTTTGAAAGCCTTGAGCCTCTGCTCAGAAGACGAATTTTAAGTCCTATGATTGGGCCTCACAAATTTATTGTATAAAAATTAAGTAACGGGTAAATATAAAATAGATTGCAGCCTCCTGAAATATACCTACGAAAATATGATTTACACTCTCTTATTCAAAGGTGATATAATTATATGGAATTTTTTAATTCGGAAAACATTAGTAGGTATGATGAAGCAATTATTGAAGTGGTTATCAAAAAAATAAAGGATACTTTGTTTTTTCTGTGAAAAAATAATTGCAACAACTTTTAAAACCAACGGTCTATATGGTGGTAGTTGGCGCGAAAACTACTTATGGTATATTTTCTTTCTGCGCGCGCATCAGCACAAAATGGGAGGAGCTAAGTATTGATTATATGCGGCGCAGTCACTCCCCTCGTGCCACTGCTGTCTACTTTCCTGTTTCCAACAGAGGGAGGGAAATGGAAATATTTTACGTAAACTTTCATCCTGTATTTTGTTAGCGTCTAGACGTAAGGACAAACTTTAATTATGCAATCGTCACATTAATTATTATCTTTATGAATCACAAAATTAATAAAATCCATTATGTTACAAAATAAACGTTAAGAAAATTTCTGTCATTATGAAATAAAACGTAAATACCTACAGCCGAGATGGCATCTGATTACGCGAGGGCAACGACCTCATAGTCTAACTACTGACTCAACCTTGCAAGAATAGATAATATTTTACACAAATATTATTTAACGTGATGACCTCGCGGACGGGCAAAAAGCATACTGGAATTCAACCGACGAAATGTGAATTCAAATTATTATTTTCAATTATAATTCCAGCGTAATGACGTCACCGACAGGAAATTTGCCATAAACATAGATAAGTAGGTAACAAGAGTTATCAGATTTTATATAAAAACTAGCTTTCGCCCGCGATATCGTTCGCGTGGAATTAAAAAAAAAAAACAAAAGCGAGCCTATGTATTCCTCCAGAATATCCTTTACGTCTGTGCCAAATTTCATCGAGATCCGTTATGCCGTTTAGGCTACAAACTCTAACATACATCCATCCATCTAAACTTTCGCATTTATATTATTAGTATGAAGTATGACAATTTTATACTGACATTTGTAATAATATACAACACCTGCCTTGACATAATGGAATAGCTTATATATCTATCTAAAAGGTATGATACTGTTTTTCTACTAAGGCCATTAGGAAACTTGATTAAGGGTAGAATGAGCTATTCGGTTGACTGAGATTGGCGATTATAATTCCCTGAAGTTTACGATTAATGAAAAATTCGAATCTTGTCATTTTTTCGTAGTACGTTAATTGTTACTAATTTACAGTAGTATATAAGTTTTAACCCGTAGGGAGTAACGGCTGGCTGACGGAATACAGCGCAGGTGTGTGAGACGATGCATTTTTATGGCTATGGAAACTACATGCAAAGAAACGCACACATCTACAAGTTGCAGCCGCGCCAGTCCCTCTTCGTGAGCTGCAGTTGCATACTCGCCACAGACTACACAAACAAGTATATCAATTTCACTATGACTGTTCATTTCTAAATTATATGTTATTAATAAGGAATTCAAGTAAACAACTTTTAGCAGGAAGTTACAACTTTTAATTAAAGTATGAGGAAGATTCGAAATTTCTAATGTGCAGAATTCCCATTAAAATTTGTTAGGCTCACCAATTATTAAAAATAAACATTAAACTAACTCCAGATTAAAATTTTAATTATTCTATACTAATATTATAAAGAGAAATCTTCTATAAAATTGCATCGGCTTGCGATAAGAGTACCCTACTTCGATATAAAAACTAAATTTATTTGATTTTTCTGAAAGCAAAATGTTTAATGTGTGATTTTCAGTAAAATGCTTAAATATTTAAACAAAAACGTATCTAGTTTCTGCTCTGTGTATAGTGCACTCTACTGCACTATTACACACACATACAAAATGTGTAGCAATATTACACACACAAACACAAAGTGCACTCATTGTTAAACGTTTTGAAATTCTTGTTCAGAACCGGCCGTGGGAACAAAATTACATCGTAGATTCACGAAAACTATTTCATGTTAGCAATATTTTCTAATTATTAGCAGGAAGACATATAGAAGCTTTATTATATCACACAATATTATGGGAACATATTTGTGAAAGTATTGTACAAACTTTAATACGAGGAAAGAATGTAAACATAGGTACATATCTATCATGCTCAACATACTACTCACAACCGTTTGTAAGTTCATTGACGGGGAATTGGCGCCGTTTTTAACCGTTACGAACATAAGTAGAAATAGGCAGGATAATTTGATAATAATTACAAAGCGATGTAGGATTATAGGTAATACGTGAAATAAACAAATATTAAGGGTAAATTTAAGACAATTCGTTAAAGTTTTAATAATAATAATAATACTCATGCTGTCTCGTTCTAAACAATATCTACGTTATGCGTGTAAAAGAGATCAAAGATGAATAATTTTATCCGTTATAAATCTAAACCTCGTGTTAAACTACAGTATTATTCATTCTTAGAATTTATAATCGTAAAAGTTCTTATTGGGTAAACGTTACTGACATCCATTAGTCGAAAAATTATTATTCAACGTCACTGATATATACGTACACATTAGTTATCGAACTGGAATAATTTCCCGCCACTTTACCACTACGTATAAAACAATAACAAACATTATTTTACGATAACTAACACGATAACAACACTTTTATTTTGTTTTACTGGTACTACAATTAATGAATGACATTAAAAAGAGCGGGACATAACTCCATTGGACTTTCCCATTATCCAAACGTATAAACTAAGGTGAATTTACGGAGGTTAGAATAGAAATGTTACTTACCGAATATTTATTCACATAAATATCCTTATGCTCAATGGAATAATCCCAAATTTCACACATTTACGTATTTACCGTCATGAAATTGACAAATATAACACCACTCACTCCATAGACTACAATCTGTTTTACTATTATGTTAAAAGGTATACAAAGAGCGGAGCCCCTTTCTATTGGCGGGCTTCGACCACGTGATCAAACTTACATCACGTCTATTGGTCATAAGCATAGAACGAATTGACGTCACTAATCATTTGAGACTCTAAATTTATTTTTCACAGCATTCATATTTATCTCTTAGTTTTTAATAAAAGTATAAATAACTAATTATTATTTTAATAACATTTAACCTTACATCTTTTTAGAAAAATACTTACGCGAGTACTTACTTATAAATGCGAGGCAGCCATTTTCAACAACATGGCGGTTTGTTTACACCGGCATGATAAGGCGGGAAGTACTTTTCCCGTGTATTCACACCTAAACTGCTACAAGATAACTTAAAAATAAATGTTTAGTCTCAAGAAACAATTTTATTGAATGTTTAATTAAAATTATCAAAACTTAATCAAATTCTATAAGAAAACACGACACAAGGGCAATATACCTTTTTAAAGTTCATTAACGCCATCTATTGACCAATAGAGTATTTTTATTTGCGGCGGGAAAATGAAATCCTTTTAATAAGAAAAAGCTAGAAACATTCATGACAATGACCTACAAAAAGGGATATTCTAAGTATAATAATTATCAATAACTAAAACAAAGTCATCAAAATCGTTATTTAAAAAAAAAGAAACATAAATGGAATGATATAAAAATTGAAACAACAATAATGTCCATAGATATTATAAATATAAAAGGTTAACATTCATTTTATTTTAGTGGCTACTAGTAGGCACTGAGCATTCATTAAAAATATCAATTAAGACCACAGTTTTCATTCCTAATAATAATAGTTTTAACAGCAAGCAAACAACAATATCTTCACAGTCTTCGTTTTACTAAGCAACTATCAAAGCGCACCTTTTCAAAATTTGGATATTTTAATATTTCTATTCTTTTTAAGAGAAGTTTGGGAACGATATTGTTTGTTGCGATTCAAGTAATCATTTTTAAAATTACTGGCATTACTAGATTGCGCGACAAATTTGATATCTTGTGGTATAACATTAACTTTAAAATTAGTCGTGAAGCCGCTGTTTGAAATGGCTGCTGTCGGTACAAAAGGCAACACTTGGGGTTTCTTGATAACTCTCTTTTGCTTTTTAGATGCTCCACAATCTTCATCTTGTATATAAATGCTTTCTTCTAAATAGTTTGATGGTTTGTTTCTTCTAGTTTTAGCAGTTTCTACTTGAAATTCTGTTGTAGAAATAGCTTTTTGTTTCTTCATGGCAGATTTCAATTTAGGTTTGTCTGTCAATTTATTTAGCACCGAAGGTGGCAGTCGGGGAATGTGAATCTGATCTAACGAGTTCTCTTTGAGGACCTTGAACAAATAACAAATATTACCATCATAATTAAATACTTTTGCTTATTACTTATTAAGAAATAAAGATTATAGTACAACTATTTTCAATTATATTACAAAAAATTATAATGAACTGTACCTTGGCATCTTTATGTCTTCCATCATCATCTTCTCTGTGCTTGCGTTTTTTACTTTTGCTTGATTTGGCATTATTTGCTAAAAAAACATAACACCGATTAGAAAATATATACTTTAATATAAATACATGAAACTTTTACCAGTCTACATATTAGGATTAAGATTATGGTAAAATATTGTTTTTACATGAATTTAGTAAGTTTTCTCATTTACCTTGGCTTGTAGCTTCGCTATCATCATCATGAATATTTTCATTTCCATTTTCTTTATTTTCATTTTGACCTGTTTATTTAAAAAATATACAATTTAAAAGTATAAATTATAATATTGAAATGATTTTTTGTTGGACAAAACCGATACATTACCAGCAAAATGAATTTCCGATAGCAAGTTCTTTGCATTTTTATTTTGTGACAGACTTCCTTCTGCTTCTGTGATCTTCTTGACTTTCTTTTTGGACGAGATTGTGATGTTTTGACATAATTTATTCGATCCTAATTCTTCTGTCTCTGAAAGATGTATCAACACGTTTTAACTACTTGTTACTCCCGACATCGACCGCAATAATTTAAAAATCTTTCCTCTTCATCACATTAGAATAGATATAGACGATTAACATTATTATTATAAATTACCTTCAGTTCTCGTTTTATCAGATTCTTCAGGATTTTGTGACACTCTCAGTTTTTTCGATTGTCTGGGAATCGATTCATTGGTATCTTCGCCTAAAAAATGTCAATGTCGATTACATTAGAATATAATAGATAATAGAATACTAAAATACATTTTATTAATATCATATGGATATTTATAAGAATGTTTACATGCGAAACAAACCTGTTAAAACAACTTCTACAGCGGGAGTGCCAGAGTGTTTCCTTTTACGTTTTTTTATTCCTTCATTATCTTGTCCTGTTGAAATTTTAAATAAGAAAATAAAACATTCATATTTGTCTAAAATAAGTCAAAAATCTTGGATGAATTAATGTGATAATAGTGTAAATGTACAAAGTTCTTTGGAGTTTAAGAGAAATAGGTACCTTCATCTGCGATATTATCTTTCTTTGGCACATTTTCTGTTTCCACCTTTTGTTCATCATCTCCTGAAGAAAAAGATAATACATATCTATACTAATACTAACATTATAAAGAGATTTGTATTATTGTATGTATTTGAATAACTCACTACTGGGCAGATTTCAAACACTTTTACCATTAAAAAGCTATGTTACAGCCATGTTTTAATTTTACGAGAATGAAGTTGCGAGCAATAGTTAGTAAAGTTTGTATTTTTATATTGACTGTTCTTTCTATTTCATATTTATAGTCACTAATATGTGGGTTTACATTGTATTGGGAATTAAAATATTCATGTAAATACCTGTTTCATTATGTCGTTTCTTTTTAGGACTCTTATTCTTTGAATTCCCTAACTGGTGTGTTATATTTTCTTCCACCATTGAACTGTGTAGTGATTTTGAATGTTTATTTTTTTTTCCACCACTAGTAGTTTCTTCAGAAATATCTTCAGTGTCGATTTCAATTGATGTTAGAATCGAGTTGTTTAATGATTGTGACAAATTCTTTTTCTTCTTTCCTTTAGGAGTTTGTGAAGTCAATGATTTAACTTCACCTACATCTATAATTTCCAGTTCATCTGTGTGTGATTTATTCTTGTTTTTCTTTGCACTTTTAGGTGTTTTTATAGCTACCGATTTGTTGTTCGCCTCATCACTGTCATCTACAATTTCAGTTAGAATTGACATATGAAGGGACTCTGATAAAATACTCTTGTTTTTGTCACTTTTAGATGTCTTTGATGTTAGGGAATTGTTAACTGCGTCTTCGGTAAATTGAGTTTCAGATTGTTTTTTGGTTTTCTTTTCACTTTTTGGAGTTTTCGAAATCAACGATCGATTAGTTTCCTCGGTATCTGTGAGTTTAGTCTCTATTAAAGTATCATTTTGTATTTCTAAAATGCTGTTATTTTTTTTCTTTTTCTTGTCACTTTTAGGTGTTTTTGGAACTAACGATTGGGTAACATTGTCCTCTTCGTCTACAGATTGCGTGTCTGTCGGAATGGACTTATTGTGAGTTTCTAGAAGACTAATATTCTTCTTTTTAGTTTCACTCTTTGGTGTTTTAGAAACTAAAGATTTATTCACAGCTTCAGTAGATTCTGTCGAATTTCTTTCTGTAAGATTGGATTTATTTAATGATTTCCTTTTGTTTTTCTTTTCACCTTCAATAACATTTGATGCATTTAAATTCTTTGAAGTATTTCCTAATTCAGATGATTCACTGGAATTATCTGAAAAATTAGATAAATATTAACAAAATGTAGAAAATCAAATTTCACTTAAAAATGGTATAAAATACAAATAGTCACATAGGACCTTAGATTAAAACATATTTATAGAATTCTATATTATTGTGTCTAGTAGATTAAAACACTGCTTTATAAGTTTTCTACTAAACATTTATATTGATGAATATTCGTCATATTACTTCTTTTGTAAAGAATATAAAGCATATTTACCTTTTTTTTTCACGCTATTGAGGAGCGAATTACGTTTTTTGTATGAAATCTCAAGAGGTGGGCCATCGTCATTTGAATCCGCAGTACTGGAGGCATCTGGAAAGATAAACAGTAAACACACATTAAAGTTAAATTGTAATTTACTTTGTTTGCTAATTTTACTTCTTTTAATTTATTAAATGGGTTTTAACAATACTTGTGGAGAACATTTTTTCAGTAAGGTAAATAAGCAAAAACAAGTAGAGAAGCCCAACTAATATTAAACACTTAGGAAAAAACATGAGTAGTATGACATCCTTCAAAGGTGTCAAAATCCCCACATATTTACATATTAAAAAAATATTTTCCTGTAAGGCGGGCAAAAACATAAATTTCATAAAGAGACATTACTAACCACTGATTTGTTTTTTAACATCATTATCTTTCCTCATAGAGCTGTCACCAACAGTGTCAATGAAGAACGGCATTTCTTCCTCTTGATTATCAATATCTAAAATAATTTAGAAGATTAGTTTTTATTACAAAATTTGAAAGAAATTGTAGTAGTCAAATTATTAAGTTTGACTACTCTACTATTTGGATCAACACGTCTTTACTTCACATAAACATTTCTTTAATGATGCTTAAGAATGATTTACTAAAAATAATTGTTCACCTACCCTCATTTTTTCGAATATCGGTTTTTGCTTCGGATTTCTTTAGAGGTATAAATTCTTCCGGTTTCTCATCAGTTTTTCGTTCTTTATTATTGGAATCCATGCTGTCTTCAGAGAAAAGTAATTTTAAGTCGATAGAATCAGAAGAGTCATCCGCAATATCGTTTTCCTTAATTTTCTTCATAGCTTTCGTAGATTTATCTTTAACTTGAGTAAGGTTTAGTTGATCTACAATTGACTGTTTGCTTTTTTTCTTAGATTTTTTATTTAAATTTAAAGATAGGTTTCCTACATTGGACTTTTCGACTGTTTCAGTAAGAACAATAGGGTCTTTAGTGTTCGTTTTGTTAACTTTTTTGCTTTCTTTCTTACTTATATCCAGATTTGAAGAAACGTCGTTAATATTTTGTGATGACTTATTCTTTGCTTTTATAGATTCTTTTGTCTGTGGTTTTTCTTTATTTTCTTCCTCTACATTCAATGAGACATTTGTATTTCTAGATTTTAATTCTTTAAGAACATTATCGTAATTCTTGGCAATGTCAGCGTCTTCACTACTTAATGAAGAACTATCTCCATCAGAATCTTCTAATGGGTTTTTAGACTTCATTGAGTTTTCTTGACAAGGTGTATTTTTTACATTATTTGTATCGACAAATCCGACAGAAACATTCATACTTTTGATTGGGGTCTTTGGTTCTATTTTTATTTTAGTTGCCAGTGGATCATGAATCTCTTTAGTATCTTCCGTCTCTTCGCAAATAGTTATTTCTTTTTCATTTAATGCACTTCTATCCAATGACTTCCTACCTTTTTGTTGGTTCTCCATTTGAATGGAATCTTCTGCGTCCGAATTAGCACCGGATTCATTAATTGAAACAAGCCGGTTTCTCTTGTTTTTTCTCGGACCTATTACATCATCTTCAGGTTCCGAAGAATCCGAACTTTGTAGTTTTGATTTAGAGCTTTTATTAGAGTCATTTAACTTGTGCCGCGATTGGTACATTTCTCTAGATGCTTGTTTTTGCTGTTTTAATTTTCTCTCGTTATATTTTTGCTTCGATTTTGTTGTCATTTTCAGCTCATTATCACTCATTGATAAATCATCACTGCTTCCACTGAGTAGCTCATTGTCTTCTTCATTAGAAGAAACCAGAAAGGAATCTTTTTCATAATCAGAGTCATTGGAGAACTCTTCTTCAGATGTTAATGTTTCTCCCTTTTCCACTACCTCATTTTCTTTTTCATATTGCTTCTCCTCTTCATCTCGACTATCTCCAGATAAATAGTTATCACTGGCTTCTTCAGCTTCATTGTCTAGTAAACTCTCCTTATCACTGGCGTCAGATTCCTCGTCGGCACTGGATTCTGCTTCAGAAGATTGACTATTTGTTATAGCCGACATGTTTTTTTTGGGAGTAACTTTAGCTTTACTCTTAGAAACATTGTGATCGAAAATGTTTGAAATCTGATCGTCTTGTTTTTCCACATTCTTTTTCTGGAGAGGTGTACTAGTTAAATATGTCTTTGACAGAGTTTTGTTAATTTCCGTCGTTGCTGCGATCACAGCCGAGACATTAACTGACTTGGATAGTATTTGTGGCGATTTGTTTTCAGTGATTGAATCCTTCAATTGAGATAGTATTAGAGTACTTTTATTTTCATTACAACTTTTATCCAAAGTTTCGCCTGTTGAAACACGCATGGAAGATTTCAGTGGCGATTTAGTTAAACTTTCATTTGTAGCAGCTTCACGAGATATCGATTTTTCTTTTGATTCTATTTCTTTGTTGGATAAATTATTAGTTAGTATTTCAGGTAAAGTTTCATCCACATCCATTGGTTCGCAAGAGTCATTCGAGCTAGGCTGTTTGAGTTCAAAAGATTTTGCGTGTTTAAAAATAGACTCATTTTTTGCATTTCCAAAGTTGGTCGTTAAAGAATAATCAGGTTCGTCATTACTTTTTTCTTCTAACTTATGATCTACAACTGGAACGCATTGATCTTCATTCACATCTTTAAGATTGTTTGTTTGTTTGCAACTACTGTCTGAATCTTCCATTAGTACCATAGCTTGGATATTATTGCTCGGATCATTTTTAAACAGATTTGTGATACCACTGTCTAGACTAGCTTCATTTTTAGAATCCAATTTATTAGGTGTGTCAAGTGATGGTTTTTTCTTTGTTGAAGATTTGTTCATAATATTTGTTTCAGAAGCACCAAGGTCCTTCTGTTTATCAACACTGTTGCTACTGTTCAATTTGCAATCACCAGATCCAGAATTATCAACTTTTTCTAAAACAACATAACATTTCGACTGACGCTTTTTTCTTGTTTTCTCATTATCACTATAGAAATCAGTATTTGTTGAAGCTGGTGCAGTAATTGTTGTCCAAGATTTAGTCCTTTGTCTCTTTTGTTTCACTTTACTAGTTTCCTGAGCTTCTGACATACTTTTGTTCACATGTGATCTTTTCGATGGATTTACATCTAGATCTTTAATTAGATTTGCACTGGAGGTTGATAGTTTGTCTGACTGCGACATTTCTTTTGTTTCGGTATTAGTATTGGATCCATTTGTACTCTCAGAACCAATAGTTGATGACACTTTATCATCTTCAGATTCCTCTTTCTTAGACTGAGATGTATTAACGGCATTATCATCTAAAACAACGTTTTTATCATCTTTTTCTGGTGTATTTGTTACGGAATTTTTATTCATAAGTCTTGGACTCCTTCGAATAGGGCTCTGTTTTGAGTTTTCGCTATCTGAAGTTTTAAGTTCACCATTTGTAACTTTAGTGATATTTTCCGGTTCCTCTGAGATAGGTTCAGGTATTTTTGATGTCTTTACATCTGATGTTACTGCATCTGTAAATATATACAAATATCATAGGTATTAACAAAGAAATAAAATAAGAAAATATTTTTTTTTAGGAAAATTATATATACCTTGCTTTTCAATACTTGATGTTGAATCTCGCCTTGTTCGTCGAGTTTGCCTAATGGGCGTAAGCGGTATTTCATTATCACTTCCTGCAATAAAATTGGCACATTCTATTATATCTATGTTAAATTTGTGTGTAATAAATTAAAAACCAGTGACGCTTATCAAAACATGTTGAGCCAAAAACAAACTTATTAGCCTAAATCAAAATACATGCATAAAACTGACCCAGGTATCAACAACACCAACAGCCAAATAAAAAAAACGATATTTAATGTTCAACAGCATTTTGAATGGTAAGGCTACACTTGAATTCTTAAAATTTTGACATTTGACAGAATTGGTGTTTTTAAAGCAAAATGAGTCTTGTTTCAGAATTCGGCTGGAAGTCAAGGTAATTGAGAATTTACCAGCTTGAGATGTTCTCCTGGCAGCTCTCTTAGCTCTGGGAGAATCAAAACTTTGCACTGTATCAGATACAATACTAGTATTTGATTTTATTCTTGCACTCCGCCTTGATGGGGTCACAGGTTTCTCTTCAGCATCTTTTATCTCTTTTACTGCAGTTTTCTTTGTTGTTGGTTTGACATTTTCTTCTACAACTGTAAAATTAAACATAATGATAAAAAAAGCTTTGCGTAATTTTCTTACTCTGATCAACAAAGGTTTATAATATGTGGTGGTTATACCTTTTTTTAGTGTTAATTGAGCAGTATACACAAGAATAGCAATAAATTTGTCTTGATTACTATTTATTAGCAAATCACTAACAGGTTAAAAGTCTCAATAACAAAGATATCAAATGTCAAATAATGTAGTATCAAAAAAAACATTTGATAAACATGTATTTCTTCAATTTATTAGAGCTTATCATTCTTCAATTAGATTTCATCAAAATTTCTCCATTGGTTTAGAAACATTTAGAAAGCAAAGACAAACATTATTTTTAAATTAAAATAGATCTTATGTAAAGTTAAAAATTACATTTTACCATTTTCATTAATTAATTCAAGTTCTGTCTTAGCAGGTTTCCGACCACCTCTTTTCTTTGTCGGTGTACCAGGAGCTGATGAAGCTTTACCCTCATCCGATACTTCCACAGATATTCTTCCCCGGCGTCTGGTAACTGGAGCTTTGAAATAAAAGGTTAATTTCTTTTAAATAAGCTTATAGTAGAAAAAAATTGCATTAACAAACATAAAAAAAACTAGAAACAAATTGACTTAAAAATATTCTACATTAATATGTTATTGTTATGAATACAGTTTCAATATAAGTATAAATATCTTCGCGATAGCTAAAGATATAATAAGGAAAATTTCATATGGTAATACAAACAATAATAATAAGTAAAACATATTTTTAACATCTTGGTTTTGCACATGCCATTTTTATACACGAGTTACATCCAAAGTGCTTATTTAATATGGAAAAATGAATTGTGTTTGAATGTTTTCATGAAGAAATATAAGGTAATTATCAACAAAGAATGTTTTATTTATTATAATCGAACCATAACCTCTTGTTTTTTTTTTAAATATATTAGAAAGTAAAGGTATTAAAAACAAGAAGAGGCAAATAAGCTGAAATATCAACTCAATTGTACAACAATCTAGAAAACTCTTAAGTATAAGCGTCGCATTGTTGGACAAAAAAATGTTAATTTTCTCAGTTATTGCTCTTGCTGATAGGCAATAATTGTAAAGCAATATTTAAATCTTAATATTTTCGTATGCCATCTTAAGTTAAGAGAAAACATCATTGAAAATTTCAAGCATGTTCAACGGCATGATTTCACAACACGCGTTCATCGAAAGATAATTATTTAAAATATATCCAAATTCATACCTCTAACTCCAGCTTCTTCGTCCATGATATTCTTTGTTCTGATATTGATCTTCTAGTATATATAAAATGAAAACACGTGCAATAAATTAGTATAAATCGCTTTGAGGTTGAAATAATGGTCGAACAGCTGTTGAGACGCCGCGAATTGTCAATTTGAATCCGCAGCGTACTGCGTATCAGTGAGAAAATTCGTGCTCTGGCAACACTAAAATCCGTTACAACTTTTTAGCGTCGAAAAAGGTAGACATAGGCTAGATTTATAAAAAGAACTTTAGATAGATAGATATTTGTTACGAGTTTCTATCCTAAATTGCTGGACGGATCTCGATGAAAATTTGTGTAGAGGATTGTCTGGAAGTATAATTTGTTTTTCTGTAATTCCAAGCGGACGGAGTTGCGGGCGAAAGCTAGTTGTAATTGTGTATTTCATTTTAGTTTACATAATTTAATGATTGGTAATTGGTAATTTTTTTTCCGAATTTTAATTACCGTATCAACACCATACAAAATGTTATCTGTGTTTACGGGTTGACAACAATGTTTGATAGAGATGTTTTGGCAATGGAAAGCTCAATTCAAAAATGAAACAGTAACTGAAAGATGGATTTCTACAATATTTTCGGTTATGATGATGATTAAAAATATATAATTTCCTTTCTCTTTTTGTTATCAACGAAACTTAATTAACCTTTAGTTATGTGTTTCAAAGTGACGAAATTTAGTCTGGGGAGCTTCCTTAATTAATGTCCTTAGCAGCCTTTTACTGCGTCTTAATGCCATAAGGCTTAGTACATTATGGCACATTTACCTCTTATTAAAACACTTTAACGCAAAGAAATTCGTTTGCTACTCTTAAAATTTCACTTCATGCGGCAATAAGCTCATACGGATTAAGATGTTATATATGTAATATGTATGGAATTTACATCTTGAAGTACAAATAACATGAAACATTCGTTTGTACTCACGCATAGACAATCACATATCGTTGTTTTTTATGATTTTTTCATTAAAACAACTATGATTGATTGCTGTTTACAATGTTACGAATGTTTTTATTTCCAATCGTATACTTTTATGTACGGCTATGATATAATTCTACGGATTGGCTTCACAAGGCATAAAAAATGTTTGTAAATAGGTTTCCATATTGATAAAGCGCTTCCACTGATATAAAAACACTAAATACATTTCACTCGTATTTTTTTATACTTCTATCACTGTTGGATTCGTTTCTAAAAAACCCATTAACTAAAATAAATGCATTATTATTTTTTTCCTTATATATAGTCCTTCTATATTATAAATATAATATATTTTCTTATATATTGTAAATAGTCCACAAATTGCTATGATATCAATGTAGGTGAATTATTTAGATCAAGAGTTTTAATTAAAAACCTAACCTAGAGCCTAATTAGGCTCGACCATAGTCTAGCATTTTATGCTAGATAGTATTTTTTACCTTTAAATCTACATATAGATTAGATGTAGTCTGTAGTAAAAGTTGTGTTAGTTTTATCCCACAAATAAAAGTGTTAATTTTTTGTCTAACTAAATCAAACATTTTTGTGATTTTTTTTTGGCTCGAATCTAGGTTATTTGGAAATAAGCCAAACCACATCGGGACAATAATCCCGTATCGCCAAGTGGTACATGATTGACTATACAGCATTGCCAACTAGATTAGTTTACATGATCTTCATCTTAAATCTTACTAATATTATACACTAGCTGTTCCCATACGACTTCATCCGCACAAAATTATAAAAAAAATCATTTTATTGTTCACATTTGTCAAATTATGAATTGCAAATGTCAAAATTACATGACATGATGTCAAACTATGGCAACCTTGCTTCTTTGGTGTTAGCAACAACTTATGGTCTCTTTCCCACATTAGGGTTTTTATCTAAAATATTTACCTCTAAGTTTAACGGCGTGAAAATATATAGCCTAAAGCGTGACGTAAGAGTAGACCTTTTTATTAAAAAAAGAGTTATTCGAAAATATGCTGTGATTGCGACATCTTAGTCTTAGGCAACAAAAAAGTGTGTGTTTACGCTTTATTATATTAGTATTCGAAAATATGCTGTGATTGCTGACATCTTAGGCAACAAAGAAGTGTGTGTTTACGCTTTATTATATCAGTATAAATATAGATTAGCAGTGGCGCGCAACTCCGTCCGCGCTGAATTAACAAAAAATAGTAACTAGTAGTACATGAGTTCTTCCAGAATGCAAACTAAAAATTCATATTAAAATATTAATAGACTACAAATTAACATTGATTCAAAGGTTGAAACGTTTAATTTGAACAGAAGTTTTCTTTTGATAAATAATGACTACTATAACATAATAAAGCGTAAACACACACTACTTTGTGCCGCAGGCTGTCAGGAATCACAATATTTATTTGAGTAAATCTTTTTTTCATAAAAAGCCTTCCACTTACGATACGCTTAAGGCTATATATTTTCACGCTATTAAACTCAGGTTGTAACTAGATTGAAAAATAAACCTCCATGTGGGAAGCAACAAGCTGCCAACATTGAGGAAGCAAGTTTATTATGGTAACGGTAATTTTTGCAATTCAAAATTTGACAAATGTAAATTATACAGTAAAGTTGAGGCATGAAGTCGCACGGGAACAGTTAGTAGCATAAAACAACATGTATAAAAATATATCGCAAAATAATTGGATTTAATCTCTATGTTAAGTAACTAAAGCTCCTAATGTTTAATTTATATTTCGGTGTCATACAATACGATTACACAGATTTGTGGTTGAAATCCAGCTTTTAACGGCTTTATTTAGCTTAACTTTGTTTACTGAACATTTTAATGCTTCACTTTGATTAAAAATTTACTAGCAATCTAGTTAAAAGGAGATAAATCACTGTATTTACATAAATAGATTCTCGGTACAAGCCATTAGTTACTTTAGTGTGGCCTTACTAAAGTTTGGAATTGGTCTTATGTTTAAAAATACTAAGTTTTAAATACATTTTTCATGAAATTTTGTATAATTTTGAATAATGTATAAGGTTAATTATGCTATTTTTATAAATGTGAAAGTTTGGATGGATTGATGGATATTTGTTAGAATGTGTACTCTATACGGCTAAACGGGTCTCGTTGAAAGAAATAGATAATAGAGAATAGTTTGGAAGAACATATAGGTTAGTTACTTCTGTTATTTTGAAATTAGGCTAGTATTTTATTATTTAGGTAGGTCTTTCTCGATTTTCCTTATTGGTAACCTAATATTGTAAAAGATTGAATAACATAAATCGTGATAAGGTGAAAGATTCTCCTCGAAGGTAAATCCTGTCGCATAAATTGTTGTCACTGTAAGATACACGGGCGCAGTGAGATCGGCTACAGTGACGTAAATTCACATATTTGCTATGAAGCCTTAGTTTTGTTTTGAACCAGATAACTATACTTATACTAGCTCTCGCCCGTGACTCCGTCCGCGTGAGTTTGTAAAAAACAAAAGAAACCAGCCCGTGTGTTCTTTCAGATTATATCTACATCTATGCCAAATTTCATCGAGATCGGTTCAGCCGTTTAGGCTACAAACTCTAACAAACATCCATCCATCCAAACTTTCGCATTTATAATAGTAAGATTTACGTCGAAACACATGTAGAAAAATCTTCCTTACTCTTTGTAGGTTCAACAGATCGATTTTATTTCAAAACTTGAAAGACGAATAGATAAAAATGAAACGATTATATACCCAATTAAATTATTTACAAGTAATACTTCTAACACGCTTTCTTTCATATAAAACAAACTCGACGTTCAATATTTTAAAAACTCAAATAATTTCAGGTTAACTGCATGTATCTGGAACTTTTCAGATATAAGTTGTTCAAAGCTCTCTTGGAACAGTTGCTCAAGTCAAAGAGGCTAGAGGTTATGAAACTTTTCCTCACATAAATTTTGACGTTCTTTAGCATTACGACTAGAAAACGTTTATTAGAAACACACAGACAGACAAATCACATACAAATAAATCGTCAATTTTACACTAAACTTGTAGCCAAAGGTATATTTATGTATCTATGCGTGTAACGTATCAAATGAATTAGTTTGCGAGTTTCTGCGTTATTACTAACATTGCCGATCTCGTAAACTGTTCTGGCGCAATCTCTCCAAAACATAAAGGCACAAAAATTTTAGAGGCCATAATTTTTATGAATTCAAGTAAGGGTCGTATAAAGTTATAAGAAAAATGAACGATATAATTCAATGTATTTAGAAGTTTCGACTACTATTTTTTTCTTTTTTGTGAAGATCTTGCATGCAATTGTTTTTTTTTATTATTAATAACTAGCTTCGTATGTATCACCACAGATGATACAGAACTATTCTAAATACATCGATATGTATATTTTAATACGTAACATCCAAAAAGGTAGTTCCTTCGTAAAAATGTAAAGTAAGTAGTAACTATTTAATCTCACTAATATTAAAAATGCGAAAGTTTGGATGTTTGTTTGATTTCGATGAAATCTGGCATATAGATGTAGAGGATAGCATGCAAGATCGGGGCTTATCACTTTTTTTTTAAATTCTACGCAGATGGTTTTCGGGCAAAAGCTAGTAACTAGTTTAATAATTTTATCTGCCGGGCATGAAGGTTACGAAAGCAAAAAGTACCGTTTAGTCGAAACTAAAATACAAATACCAGCGTTATTCTAAAATAGCTGTTCCCGTTCGGCTTCATACACATGTAATTATAAAAAATATTTATTTTATTGTTTACATTTCTTTAATTCTTAATTGCAAATGTCAAAATTACCTTTACCATAATAACCTTGCTTCCTTAATGTTGGCAGCTTGTAGTTTATAGTCCCTTTCCCACATAAGGGTTTTTTCCAATTTATTTATCCCCTAAGTTTAATAGCGACAAAATATATAGCCTAAAGCATGTCGTAAGTGTAGGGCTCTTTATTAAAGAAAGAATTATTCAAAAATATGCTGTGATTGCTGACATCCTACGCCACAAGGTAGTGTGTGTTTACGCTTTACTATATTAGTACAGAAGCATAGACATAGATTGGTTTTATATATTTTTATCATTCTTACATTTTGTTATCTGTACGTAGAAAAATATAATAATATGATGCTTTAGAGAGTACTTTTTCATAATAATGAGTGAAGGGAGTCTTTTGTTCGAGTGACGTCACTTTGTCCAAATTATAAAGGCATTGTTATCGAGTCATTGTTCGTCGCAACTATAACGTGTGAGACGGGAAACGAAACTCTTCCACCTCGCAATACCTTTTGTTTTAATTCCATTCACTTTGCAATCGCACCCATATTTCAGTTTTACAGATAAATTTTTAAGTGCAGTACGGAAATTTGAAATCCGTTTTTTTAAATCCAATTGGAGTTTTTAACGTATTTTGTGCTATTTTTTTTAACTTTGATACATTAAAACGTTGGTTTAAATTACCATTTGCTCTATAATGTTGTTTATATTAATTTTTAAAACGTAACCTAATCAATAATCTTTTAGGTTAGAAATAATATTTATTAACACATTAATTTAAACATATTATTAAACATTTAATTTTCCAACTTATTAAAATTTAAATTTAAAAAATGTTACATTTACTATGAGAGCAAATTTTTAAAGTACAGAAAAAGGAAATTGTAAAGCATGCGGTAACCCTATTTTATAATTAAAACAACATGAGTGAAAATGAATGTTTTCAGCATTAAACTTTTAAACAGTGTGTTCAAATCGTGCAACTTTGACATGCTTAAGTTTAAAGTAAAATATTTAAACATTTGAGTTGACAATAATAAAAAGCATCACTCTTCAAAGTCTCAAAATATTTTTTTTATCGTGACAAAAAATCAGCATCGGTTATTTAAGATGTTTTATACTAATGTTAATTTTCATTTCTATATAAAACTAAAGCGTTTGGGATACCGTTTGGACTACCGATTTTGCGGTCGAGGGTTCGAATCGCGCCATTTGACTATTGTCGTGAACCATATCCTAGCGCAAGCCTAGAGCTTAATCGGAATGGTTAAAGGAAATATGAGTAAATTAACAAAAATCTATTAATATTTTTATAAAAAAAAAACTATAATGTATTTCAATTTTAATTATGAAATGGGATTGATAATAAGTTATTTTTCCTATTATGAGAGTTTAAAGTACTATTAAAATGATTAAAAGATTTAAAAATAAATAAAAAAAAAAAAAAATTAAAAGATCCGATTGCACGCAACTATGCAATTAATCGAGTTAATTAAATGTACATTAGTATTTAAAAATTTTTCTTCAAATGCATTTTTTGGGAGGAGAAAGTAAAAATAGTAATGTAAGTTACTTAAAAAAAATTCTGCATCTTAATTGAAAATGATTTTGAAGAACTCGCGTTTCGGGTTTTAACCCAACTTGGTTGTGATGGACGTATAAGTACATAATGACATAACATTGAAACATTTTAAATTATGTTGAATACTTGTGCACCTTCAAATTTTATAACGAATCTGGCTGTTAATTTTTAAAGTGGCACAACTTCATTCTTGATAAGAAAACGCCCGTTATTTACTTAATAATTGCCACTATTTTAGCAGGAACTTTAAATTTAACATCCTTAGATACGCTTAAGCATGACTCCTTAGTATCCTATACGTATATTTTTAAATTTATTGAAACGCAAAACTTTCAATATCTCGATTTGAAGATAAATGGAGTTAAGCCACTTTCAAAACAAGCGGCTCATATAAGACTATTTTTTAATTATTTTCCTATTCCGTGTATTATTGATAAAAATGTTTACTATGTGTATTGGTGTCGTATTTTAGTGTGTACATGGCTATAAAATTTTTCCGTATTACATTTTTTTCTTCGTTTTATGTTCGGGTTTGTATTAGGGTGTAAGTCGTTTACTGAAGTGCCGATGTTTATATCGTTCCACTATCCCAAAGAAAATTGCAATATTGAAACTCTTTTGTGAAAGTAACAAGATTTCCGCGTTTAATCTTATTTTTTATGTATCCTAAACATTTTTACTGATGTGAATATTAAAGTTGAGAAAGCAAATAAGAAAAATAGTAATACACTCAAATCGGTAAAAATCATAGAATCCTAAAAACGAACTAATAATGGTTACACTTATTTATTAGACCATAGATTAACAACTTCTAGATAGTTCTATAGTGTAGTTACGTAATAAATAGGAAGATGTTAAACAATAACAAAGGCAAGCGCGAGGTTTGTACTTCAGTATACTATGTACTTATATTTCAAGAGCTTTTCCGAGCAGTAATTAGATAAGTCTTGAATGTACAGCTGCTCCATACAGCTATGTAATAGGAACTTTGCAACCACTTTATTCTACACTAACTTTCGCCCGCGACTCGGTCCTCGTGAAATTTAAAAAAAAAAAATACAGCCACTCATTGACAACGTAGCTTATTAATGCTGAAAGAATTTTTAAAAACGGCCCAGTAGTTTTTGAGTTATTTCATTACAATCATATAAAGAAAGTTTTCCTCTTTTTAGTATTAATATAGACTAGCTGTTGCTCGCGACTTGGTCAGCAGGAAATTAAGAAATAATAAAAAAATATAGTTTGTTACACACAGATAAATTACCTTTCTAACGGTGAGAGAATTTTTATAATCGGTAAAGTATTTTTTGAGTTACTACAATACATACAAAAATACAAATCCTACCTCTTTACAATATTAATATAGATAGATTTATTACGCTGACTTCATTCAACGACCAACGGTAAGTAAATCAATACAAAAGAAATATAATTCAAACATTTTCAGTTTCACTCAATTAAATATAGTATGAATATGTTTTATTATGGACATTTCCTGCGAAAATTAAACGTTGCTCGGCACAGTTTGATCAACTGGCCGTAACAGCTTTCGACAAAACTTTTCGACTGTAAGTTTATTCAGGCGTATTCCTGTTTTGTTCTGTACAGCTCTGTCACAGTAAATATTCATATTTACCAAGTTTTTTATTTAAACGATTCACGTCTGCCTTTGATACAATTGAAATGGATATTTATTACAATAAATATGTCTGCTTTTACATTTCTATAGACAAAATAAAATTATTAAAACCAGTGATTAACTAAGTTATATTAAATTCAGCATCATTACGATTAGGTTATATTAGTTATTTACAGAATGATGCATTTTGCGAGAGTTGTGCAAATTTTGAGGACAAATTGTACATAGCTTTTGTGTCGGTACTTAAAAACACATCAAGGGCACAAAATGGCATTATGAGTTCCTGACGACCTTTCTGTAAATGGACACTCCAGAGCCTCGCCCGGCTCCTACGAAATGTAATTTTTACATTTGTACTGGATTTTTTCGTGTGCATTGTTAGAATAGAAGCATGTCACTAATAGAGAGTTTATTGTTCTTAAATTATTTGGAGCATTAAAGAGTGCATCATCATCATCAACTTGCCCTTATCTCAACGAAGGGTCGGCACAGTATGTGCTGCTGTTTCATATATTTGCATTTGCCGTCATATCTGAAACCACTCCCTTCTGAAGCATATCCTCTTTCACACAATCCATCTATACTTTCTTCGATCTTCTTCTACCTTTAAAGCCATCCATATTAATGGTTTATGTCCCCATCGTCTCCTCGCATGACATGTCCATACCACGCTAACCTTTTGTTTCTCAATTTCTCCACCACTGGCGCTACTTTCAAACGTCCTCTAACATACACATTCTTACCTTTATCCATCCTTGTCAAAGAGTGCATGTTTAGGTGTAGTTATATTTGGATACGGAAGAGGTGAAAGAGGTTCGTCCAATTTACTATTCCTCTCTTCAAAATTACAAGTATGAGTTATATCGTAATTTATTAAGTCAAATAGCATTTCAATTACATTGTTTAAACATCTATAGATCGGAGGAGAATTGTAATAGTATGGCTCTAAAAATATATTACTAGTACAGGATTGTAATAAGGTAGATAAAGAACACGTAAGATCCATTCGGTGGAACCCGAATAATTTGCAGTACATATAAAAGGTAACGATAATTCTCCTCTTTGACTCAGCGTATTTGGGCGCGATTCAATCTGCAATAACTTCCCATCGTAACAGCTTTTGCGGAATAACGACGTGCCTTATTTTCCAAACTGATTTTATTCTATGATTTCTTGCATTACATAATTGAAACATCTATATAAAGTTAATAAAATTTAAATATCTATGTACTTAATATAGAAAAAAAAAACAGATTCTCGAAGATGTATTTGCGTTGCTGATAACGAAATTCGCATTAATTTTTTTTTGATTGTGTGTCTGTCCACAATCCGCGTTTATTCCGGAAAATCTTCGAAATGGCTAGGCCGATATAGATGGGAATTTCATGGAAATTTGCCTAGAGGTTACTATTTCTAAGTAGTCAAGCATCTTAAATTTTTTTATTAAATTCCTCCTGTAAAGATCTAAATTGAAGAGAAGTTTGTATCGAGAGCTGTTATTCCTTCAATCCAATTGTAATTAAAAACTAACTTAAGCGATTTCCAGAACACATAATTAACTATATGCTGAAATGCCCATTTCATGTTTTTTTTTTATCCTGTAAAGTTATATTGATCCTGTAAAGTTTGTAATACAAGGTGAAAGAAAGTTTTAAAACTTAATACTCCTCGCGAATGAAGTCACGTGCAACAGCTAGTTTGCTATACAATCAGAATATTCTAGGTAAACCCCAAATGCAAAATTACTAAAACATTTCCAATATATTAACCTTTGACAACACTTGCATCGTTATCGCAATTATTACAGATAAGTTACGTTATAATATAAGGAGAAACATACACAATAGGTGTAGTAGAGTTCTACAACGAAGGCAGAAATGGATAAAGTTAATTTTATTTTTGTCGTTTTCTTTTGTTTAGCTGTATCAGGTGAGTTAAACATTAAAATGTTTTGTGAATTTATTCAGGAGGTATATAGACGGTTTATAATCGGACTAGAAATTATGGTCCTTACCTTACTTAGTATTTCAAAAATATACATCAGCTTAACACCTCAACCCTTTTATACTGTGACGCTAGCGCTCGGTTTCTTGTTGACTACGTCATGTCTATTGAAACGTTACTATGCAAAAGGTCGCTAAATGAAATCTTGATAGTTATTATAGAAAATTGCGTGGTGATACATATTTATGCTGAAATTTTTTTAATAAGGGTGTCCTTAATTTAGGGTTTGTCGTCCTCTACCACTTACGTTTTATTTCAACCTGTGCTGATCTTATTTACTGCAGATTTTCAAAGGGTATTTGAGTTTCTGTTGAATGGTATCGTTTCTGTAATCCTTTGATACTCATTTCCAACTGTTAACATAATCGTTTGATGGAAATTTTTTGATCACCTTAGGTCATGGTCAAATTGATGTATCGGCATCAGATGATGCTTTCTAGATATATTACCATTCTTCTGATAGCATTTCTACATGATTCGGATAGATTTCCTTCACTTACTAAGCGTAAAATTAACGCTAAAATAACCTTTTGCAGCAATATCACTTGTCTTGAAACACGTCGTGCAGTACGTGGCTTATACAACTTTTTAATAACCCAATTAAAAGCAATTTCGTCTCTTAACGACAGTTTGAAATGAATGGGAAATTGTTATGGGGTTATTGTCACGTACAAAGTGTTATTTTTCATTTCAAAATTCAATTTCAATTCAATTCACTACGCTGAAATGATGATAATTTTCCAAAATCTTACTAGTATTTTATCAGAGCGTCGGTGGCTCAGTGGTTTGAACACTTGACTTGTAATCTACAGGTCTTGGGTTCGAATCCCGCCATGTACCAATGTGATTTTCGATTTTTCGAATTTTCATATGTACATAATTTACCCGACGTTCTTACGGTGAAGGAAAACATCGTGATGCAACCTGCAGATATCGGCGAAGAAATTCAAAGATATGTGTGAAGTCAACCAACCCGCACTTGGCCAGCGTGGTTGACTATGGCCTAGTCACCCCATATTAGGGTAGGCTCCGAGCCCCTCGGTGGGGACGTATAGTGAGCTGGTGATGATGATTACTAGTATTTTAGATACAAAAGTTTAGATAGTTGGTTGGATGTTTCTTAGAGTTTACAGCCTACACGGCTGAACGGACATCGATGAAATTTTGCATTGATAACATGACCTGGAAGAACACATAGGCTTTAAATTATTTTTTTTTCCGCGCGGACGGAGTCGCGAGGGAAAGTTAGAAATATTCTCAAAGGATGTTTCTCCATGAACAAAAATATTTTCGATGCCTTTGATATATTTTTTATACTATGTTTATATTTAAAATGCTTTTTCAGATGTTTATTACAGTAATGCTAAGGAGATTCCCGACAAAGAGAATAAGATAATGGGCGGAAGAAACGTCACCATAGAAGAGTATCCTTACATAGTGTATCTAGTTCTGAAGGATAAGACTACACAGGATTACCACCAATGCGGTGGATCTATTGCTACTCGGAAATGCATTCTCACGGCGGCTCATTGCGTCTCAGAGTATGATATTGTAATTAATTAAAAAAATAGGCCTACTCACTATACCCCTGAAAAATTGGAAAAGACGTCATCGGATGTTTGCGCCGAAGCCCTTTCATACATCTTGACGCTTTGAAATAACTATTTTTTTATTAATTGTGCAACAAATTTAAGTAATATTGTTTTATTGTAGAGTGGAGTCGGCGTCCATAAGAGTCGGTAGTACGTACGCTTCGCATGGTGGAATTACTTACAAGTCCAGTGAATTTTCAATACATCCTAAATACCGTAATATGGATTACGATGTAGCTGTGATCAAATTGAATACACCTATCCTTATAACCAAGGCAAGCAAGTTAGTCACCTTGCCGACCGAGAAGTGCACAGTGCCTGCGGGCACCAACCTTACTGTTGCTGGCTGGGGTCGTAATGTGAGTGTCATAATAATAACAATATTTAATATAAGAAAATCTAGCTTTTTAACCGATTTTAAAAATGAGTAAGTTCTAAATTTGTCTGCATTTTCTAACACTTCTTTCTTCTTAATTGTTTGAAGAGTGAAAGAGCAGAATCTTAAAAATGTGTCTTCAGAAACCTAAATTATCTTAGTGCAAGGACATGTTACGAAACTATTTGTGTTTAGAATCTCATTAGCCTATTTTTTGTGATGATATTTTAATATAATACGTTTCCTTTAGGATGAAGGAAAGAACAGCGACATTTTGATGGCGGTGAGTGTTACCGCGGTGTCTCAAGATGAATGCCAAAAAACCTATCCGTACTTAAGTCCTAGGATGTTATGTGCCGGTGAGCCAGAGGGAGGCAAAGATTCGTGTCAGGTATGAAATATTTTCCGATAAACTAGTAAATATTGAATATCAAGACATATTAGCTAAGAACACGAGCAAAACTCCGTCCACCGTTTCTATTAAGACAAAATTCTTAAATCTTAAGATTAACTATAGATCAAATATTGACAGAACTATAAGTTAAAGTGGAATATAAAAATCCGAGTTTTAAATAGTATTTTATACACATAGTAAGCTTTTAACTTAATTTTGCCACCTAAGCAGAAGTAGCGAGGCCTGGTTATTTAATATTAAATTTTTTCTCTTTATTTGCAGGGTGATTCTGGTGGTCCAATAGTGCTAACTGGTACCGATCACCAAATGGGTGTGGTGTCATTTGGCAGAGGATGCGCGAGTCCCAACACTCCAGGTGTATATAGTAATCTGTGTGATCCAGAAATTCTGGATTGGATCAAAGAGATGGGTTGCGCGTAAACTGCTTGTTCATTCTTGTACTTATTTGTTGTGTTAATAGGAACGTAAAGAAATAAAATGACAAAGCTGCATTTACGTAATAAAATCTATGACTAACACTTGAGCACATTTTTTAAAACTATTAAAACAGCAAAAGAAGTACAGAGTTGACAATTTTTTATCTTATGATTACTTGGAATTGTGGTAATTAAATGTTCTTAATTTATATTGTACATGAGACAATGTTTATCAATAAATATTTTACTTCAAGTGAGTACAGTTATTCCTATTCCCATTCCCAGCGATTTATAAGAAAGATGAAATAAGGTATGATGGATTTTAACATGCATAACCATTTTTTAAATCTACAGTATGATTTTACTTCTAATAACTGAGATACTGACCTGATATACATCAGAAGTACATATCTGTCCTTTTTCACTCTTCATCATCCCGATATATGTATGTATTGTAGATATAAGAGACAATGAATTAAAATCATACTAATATTATAAATGCGAAAGTTTAGATGGATGGAGGTTTGTTAGAGTTTGTAGCTGCTGAACGGCTGAACGGATTTCGATAATGGCATAGATGTAGAGGATAGTCTGGAAGAACACATAGGCTACTTGCATTTTTTTTAATACTGCGCCGACGTAGTCGCGAGAGGAACCTAGTATATTACATATCTATCTATACATACATATAATAAAATAGTGTCTGTAATCACTAATAAATCACTTGACTTTCCTCGAATACTTTTAGGCAAGCGCTATGAAGGTTTTTTAATTAAATTCATCCTATAAAGTCATAAAAAGGAGGTGAATGTTTGTATTAAGATATGTTCACGATTTGAAGATCCACGCAGTCGATGTCACATGCAACAGCTAGTTTGTTGTACAATCAGAATATTTAAGGTAAAACCAATGTGTAAAACTTTTTTCCTTCTTTTGACTTTTGACAATATATACATTGTTATCTTAATTATTATAGATAAGTTACGTTATAATATAAAGAGAAAAATACACACCAAGTGCAGTAGACTGCAACAACGAAGACAGAAATGGATAGAGTTAATTTTATTTTTGTCTTTTTCTTTTGTTTAACTGTCTCAGGTGAGTTAAACTTTAATATAATAATCTACCTATAATTGTAATTTAGTATGTATTGTAATAACAGAAACAGATTTAAATATTGTTTCATCTTTCGAAAGCTACATTATACCATGAGTGTGTAGCATTGACTATATATTACATTCTTTTTTATTCCGCTCGGACGCAATCGCGAGTAAAAACTAGTTCAAACTTAGATAATATTTCAAAAACATTTTTACATAAACAAACGTAAACATCTTTATAGTGTGATTTGGCGCGGATTTTTGACAAAACAGTTTAAAGTGCATAATATATTGTCATATTAAATTATTTTGTTTCCACATTCAGTGTGAGCGAGGTAACAGTATCAGTAACTGGTAACGATAGTAAATCTAATGTTTTTCACGTATAGCCCAAAAACATTTTGTTTAATAATTTTCAATAAATTCTATTCAAATGTATTACGGTGAACATGTAACTAATTTTAATTTAATATTTCTATTCCAGACGTCTGTTACAGTCAACCGAATGAAAATGCCGACAAAGAAGATAAGATAGTCAACGGATACAGCGTGACCATAGAAGAATATCCTTACGTAGTGTACCTAAGGCTAAAGAATGCATCTGTGAGCGGTTACCACCAATGCGGAGGATCTATCGTTACCTCACGATGCGTTCTTACTGCGGCCCATTGCATCTCTGGGTATGAAAATTAATAGTTACAATTAATAAAGCCCGCAACACATGCCCAGTTTTATCTAAACAGTCGGATCGTTCAGATGACGTGTGTAGACCTGACAACTGAACTATTCAGGAAAACTGTCATATAAAACTAAGCATGTGTAGCGGGCTTTTTTATCAGACTAAATCCTTGTATAGACAAAATAAAGTAACAGGTAAGTTACAAGTGTTTTAACAATTACAAATTATAATTATTTTTTGTTACCATTCCAAATAAGCTTATGGTTTGTGCTTGGATACGGTACACTACAACCGAGGCAGAGGCTAGCTGCTTTTTTTTAATTCCATGCGGACAGAATCGCGGGCGAAAACTAGTATTCAAAAACGTAAAATTATGATGATATTTAGGGAGAAGAGGCTATATGTATCAACGCCCATTTACAAATAGAATAACACCTCTTACTTCGAAATTGGTCTAATGAATCTATTGAAAGGTGTTCACAAGGGAATACAAGATAAATAATATAATAATAAATAACCTAGTTGTCATTACGGAAATCATAATTGGCTAACACCGAGTTAATTTGTACGAGAAATTTAACTAAAATAGTTATATTTCAGGCAAGAGTCAGTATCCATAAGAGTGGGGAGCACGTACGCTTTGAGTGGTGGATATACTTTTGACCCTCAGACAATGATAATGCATCCTAAATACAACGATGTTAGTGGCGATTACGATATAGCTGTGATCAAATTAAAGACTCCTATCATAACAACCAAACGTAGTAAAAGAGTCACATTGCCGTTTCTGAAGTGCACCGTGCCTGAGGGTACAAACCTTACTGTCGCTGGCTGGGGTCGTACTAGTGTAAGTATTATACGAATACGAAATACGAATTATGCTTTTAACTCGGAGGTCCAAGAAACAAAATAGTGTAAACTCAAAATGTGCTGGAATATTTTTGAGTTTTTTTCTCTTCAGGAAAATGGACATGGCAGCGAGACTTTGATGGCGGTGAATATTGCTGCGGTGTCATATGATGATTGCAAAAAAACCTACTCGTACTTAACTCCTAGGATGATGTGTGCCAGTGACCAAGTGGGAGGTGGAGATTCGTGTAAGGTAAGAAATTGCACGTTAAAACTACTAACTATTAAACAAAGCTAAATTGGAACATTTAAAAACATCTATTAACAAGAAGAAAAAAACAAATGAAAGCGTAATTCGTCATGTAATGGATTCAAATGCTCATAGTACTGATCAAACTATGAATTTGAATTTTTTCTCTTTATTTGCAGGGTGATTCTGGTGGTCCATTAGTGCTTACTGGTACCAATCAGCAAGTGGGTGTGGTGTCATTTGGTAATGGATGCGCGAGACCCGACACTCCTGGTGTATATAGTAATCTGTGTGATCCAGAAATTCAGGATTGGATTAAAGAGATGGGTTGCGCGTAAACTGCTTGATCATTCTTCTACATATTTGTTGCTTAAATTAAAATGTAAAAATAAATTCAAAGACCGTGCTGCGTTCACGTAATGAATGTTGTTTTCATTTTACTTCAAGAAAGTTTAGAGTTTTCAGCGTTGATAAGAAATGTTACTCAAGGTATAACGGATGTTCATATTTATGATATAAAAGAGATCAGAAGTACTAATCTTTCTTTGATAGTTGATTCAAGAAATTAAAAAATAACCGACCTGTAAGCTATTTACATATATATATTTACATATATTTACATATATATTTTAAAATTATTAATAAGAGCAAAAAAAAATAGATTGTATACACAACAGGGTCACTATTTGCTGCTAATATTTTAATATATTTATTTTCCGACGTCTCTACTATAAAAAAGATCACAATAGAATTTTTTTAGAATTCCAACAGATACAATACCCACGTAATGTATTGAAAAACCATCGAACGTCACAATATAAAGGTCATTCGGGGAATTATGGCGCTCCAGAGCAAATGATGTGGGAATTTACGTCTGCGATCCTAGCGCCGCCACACAACATCGAGTTTTATTCCTTCCGCTTTGATTTACATTTTATGTGACACCATCCTTTTGACGGCTGTTGGAAACATTACCTGCAAATTAAACATTTGTACAATAATACGTCTTAAGATCTGTAATATTCTAGTCTAGTTATTTAGTTTTAATAACTATTTATTAGTGAAAAAACAAGATACACAAACTAAGCCCCATTAATATTACATATGTTTATGTCTCTAATTCTTTTTTATTTCACCTTTGAATTACGCTTTCCATAAAACTGTAAATCAATGAATTATAAAATAGAAATCCAAACAATTGGTAACTACATTTTGGTGAAAAAGACACCGATTATTTCCATATACTAGTGTAACATCAACAGCGGACTTATTGAGCATGACAAATAGGACATACATTTCTAACACAATACCTCTGTCACTATCGGTGTTATGCTGGTTGACCACAAGCCGGGGCCGCGGTACAGACATTATTAATAGCTCCGATAGCAACCGAATGGTGTCCGGACTCGATGTTCACTGTCTATTCATAATAAATCATAACTCTATACAAGTTTAAAGATATATAATTGTTCCCATAGTTAGACGTAGAATAACGAAAACGCGGATAGAGAAACTCAAATAAAAAATCAGAACAAGATATTCTCAAAATAAGAAATGCCCTAAAACAAAATGTTCGCAACTGAATTCTTATTCTAATATATCTTAAGATTAAGAGCGAGCGGAAACCTTTACTATCTACCTAAACTATCGTACAACCATTGTGCGATAGATTAGTTGATTGTTTCGCAGCCCATTCAAACGTTTAGTTGGACAAGTAAAAAGAGTGTGCGTACCTCCATATAAGCACAAGCCCAAAAATCAAAACGAGACTAAACAGTCGTGCGATAGTATAGTTTCAGGTGTGCGCACCCTCTAAGCCATTTGCGGTTTTTGACGAACATTGTTAATAATAACCACAAAAGTTTGAAGTCATATAATATGTAGATGCATAGAAAAATACGCGTCTATTTTAATTCTTCTGAATTCTTTAAGAAAAGTCTGAATAATTTCTTTAACAAGACAATAAATGGCTCTTAAAGTACCGTAAGTTACCCTTTTAAATTTGAATATTAACAAACAATGTCGATACACAAATATTGTTAGGGGGCAAGCGCGGCCGAAGGCAGATTTACAAAATGAGCGGCCTAGAAGCGTATTGGTACGCAATACAAAATAAGTACAAAAAAACGTATAAAACCTCCTTCAACAGTACGAATTCGCTTGTAAGTAAAATCGTTTGTTGAACAGAATAATAATCTTATGGTATAATATAGCAAACATTATTCTATTTAAATAAATAGGTATGGGTGTCGTCTGGCTGATATAGAACTCCTAACATCGGTTTCTAATTTATAAAACAAATAAAATTTAAATTTTAATAAACAAATTAAGTTATAGAGGGAAACGAAATGATAATATTGCAATTCCTTCTTTTCGCGTTTTCGTTCGGAATAAATAATAAGTCTGTGGGCTGGGCCTTTATTAACTTTGAACAATAAAGGCGGGACATTTCGTAACATCTGGGAGTTATGCACACAGCTTTCTTGTACGAAACTACTCTGAAAATGGTGTTTGTATTTTGTAAAGGGTGACGTGCAGTTAAATTGGAGAAATTAGCATATTTCGTTTACAACTTTCTTTAGAATTACGTATAGCCAGAACGCAATCGATAATATTTTTCTGGTCAGTAACGAACTCTGGGTTATCATTGTTATCTACCTACTAGCGCAATACTTTGACTTAAAATTATATTATGCTCTTAATAATGGAAATTGATAATGCAATATTATAACAGTTTATACCTCCTTGTCACCTCGTTTGTCAGGAATTAAAGTGTGTCCCATGGCTTTGATAGCCATTTACTGTAATAAAGAAAGTTGGTACAGCAACCGTATACCTTGGTTTAAGCAATACCACCGATCTGTATAAATGGATAGGCATTTGTATGGAAATAACAGATTTGCTTCATTCCTACTTGAATGCGCCTTTTGATGTTAGTAACAGTTAAGCCTATACTATTGTTCGTTCTAAAACAGTATACCGCGACCAATCGCAACCTTCAGCTCCAAAATGGCGAAAACACAAACACTTAAATGTATAGTCCATTTAGAGAAGTCAGTGTGGATTTTGAGTACGCCGGAAATGTGGGCGACAAATTTGTCTATAAAAACAAAAAACAGAAAGCGAAAAATTTGTCTATACAAATACTATTATTAATGATTGATTTCACTTAAAACAGTATGAAAAAAATTGGTAATTAAATCAGAAGAGAACGGTTAAATATTTGAGTATTTACATTTTTCAAATCCTTTGTCAAAAGCAGGTGTTCCGAGTTTTAAGGACCACACCAACGTGCTTCACAGAAGGGGACTTGAAGATTATTTATGTTTGAACATGTAATTGTTAACACATTTTTGTACAGTTCTTGTAGTCCTTGTTTGTTGCTTTATTAAGTTAATGGTAATTCTAAATAGTTTAACAACTATAAACTAGAATAAACATATATCATTATTAACGTAGTGATTAATCTTATTTTCATTAATATCTTACTTTATATCTTTATCTGTATTCGTCGTAAAGCAAGCGCTGTCCATAGACATTCGCAATTCCAGATGCGTTGTCTTCCTTTAATAGACGAAAAATATGCACAGGAAAAGGAAATTTACCCTTCCTAATAAGTCCTCTCAAAGGATATACATGAGTTTAATAATAAAATTTATTCCGTAAATAGCAAACTTCGGTTCTGTTTTCCAAGTTTCGGCTTAATCGAAACTTAGTTCACCAAAGTTCTTGACCAATATTCTATGAACTAATATATCTAATAAATTTTAAGTTACCGTCTTTTAATACTTTAAATTATAATTAAGAGAGCGAATCAGAGATTTTACGTGTATTGAAAAAATGTAGAGAAAGAGGAACTTCGGAAGGAAGGAAAAAGTCCAATTATGGTTTTTTAATTTCAAATATAATAAATTTATATCTTGCTGGAATAGTTGGATATCTTTTTTTTCAACACAGCGTTATTACTAACTCTACCATAGATGTTATAGTTATGTTTTCTTTCTATTAGTCGCTAATAGTCATTAGTAGTTGCATTTGAAAAAGAAATGAAGTCTGCTATTTAAACTTCAATAACTTATAACTTGTTTTTCCCCACTAACGGCAATGTTCGACATTATTAAGAAGCAAAGTTTAGCCGAGCGTCATTAGCCGAGTATCGGAGGAAAGCAACTGCACTGCCGTAAGTTCTGTTCATAACTAATTTCTGCTTCCCCCACGACTTTGGCTACACTCGATGGCCAATAGACAAACTTTTAATGAGGAAACACATGTTATATGCGCTAGTTATCACTAAACTTGTATATTTACTAGCTTTTGCTGCGATTCCCGTCTGCGTGGAATTAAAAAAAAAGGAAGCCTATGTGTTCTTTCAGACTATCCACTACACCTATGCCAAATTTTATCATGATCCGATTAGCCGTTTAAGCTACAAACAGGAGTTTGTTAGAAAAAACATCCAATCATTTACTTTAACATTTCCATTTATAATATTAAAGTATGATTATAGTTTGTTTAAAATTTTAAATTGTGATATCAATAATATATAACCAAATACACGTCTAATTAACTACTTCTCACATGTTTAGAGTGAATTTTTGTTTTATAACGCGAACCAAATTTTTAATAAAAGTATTATGCAAAATTGTGTTTTATGTTTTAAAGCAAAGTTTACACGACTTTTTTAATCTCCTTTCCCAAGTTTTCTTATGAACCCAGACTATGTACAATATACAGAAACTATAACACGATGAGGATAAAAAAATATTTATTTAAAAAGCAACACGCTTTTTTTGCCAGGGATCAGAAATATTAATGATGCGAGAATTCACCTTATATATACTAGTATTACTGCGAAATTAAACCGTTCGAAACCGTTTTGTAATAATATCTACGCAATAACAAGTCCTTCAGACAGTGGTAGGGTAAGTTAGTAGCTGTTTAAAATTTCTTGCATCGGAGAGTCCTCGGTCAAGTACAAACAAGGTTGCTTATTGCTGTTTGCGTTGTTAAATTGCCGAGACTCCAGAACGGGTCTCCTTATTTACACATGTACATATATGTAAAACCACTTTTACTTTATACATATGTATGTTTTCTTTTAAAATACTGTACATGCCAGTTTCGCATTTTCGTTATTGTTATCTTAAAGCCTTATTTTGTATTGCAAAATTTGCAATGCAATTGCAAATCACATTGCAATGTTTGGTAACGACAGCAAATAAAGTAGAAACGAAACCCTAGAACTTATATTCGAATTTTATAGATATGAGAAATTATAACAAACCTATCTAAGCTGCTTTACCTTAATAAGGTTGATTTTACAGACTCATTAGAGCACGGGCATACCTTTGACTAAACCATTGCACAACTGTTTAGTCGCGCTTTGATTCCTACGAGCTTATATGGAGGTGCGCACACTA